AAACATACAGCTGGTTGATTGAAAAGCGCTAACGCCCCCACGCTTTGGAGCAGGGGCTTGGAGAAAGGGAGGTGAGGTGGCCCTTGTGGCTTTTGCCATTCCCGTGAAAATCCACCTAAATTCAGCCCAGTTATAAGCATCAACTGCATTTATGTCTGTTCAGGCTCTGTGCTGCCCATCTGCAGTTCTAATCTGTCTGGGGTCTTTGTCCCAGCCCCTCTAGCCGCATGTGGACCAACGGACTGGGATTCCCAAGACCTGCATTCTATTTCGGGTTCCTGCTGCATGACCTTGGGAAAATCACGCCCACGCTCTGTGCCTCAGTTTCCCCTTTCGCTGTCTTGTGCCCGGCAATGTCTCTCACGCTGTGTGCATGCAGCACCCAGCACAGGAGGGAAGCCAGACCTTACAGTCAGATGAATGGGGGGAATCTTGGTTGATCAGCACTAAATATTCTCCCAGCTGAGCTGAATTTTCGACAGACCCATGTGGGAGCGAGGCTGAGGACCACCCTCAGACACCCAAGACACACAAGCCTCTCCCAGCTGAGCTAAATTGTGTGCCTACCCGGGGGAACCAGGAGTGGGAGTGTGGGCTTTCACGCAGCCTCCTGCTTGCTGACCTAACAGAAAAGCTCTTTTCAGCTGCCTTTTAGCCTCTCTCAGGGAACCACAGCCACTAGAGGGCGACACGGTGGAAAACGGATGGATCCGTCCGTCAATATCACTGGTTAAAAAGATGGGGCACAGGCCCCGAGGGGAGTGGCATGGATCCAAGGGAGGCACCCCAGCTCATTCTGGTTAGAGCCACAGTTACTCGGTCAGTGGGCTCGGTGTGGGGAGAGGGGAACACCGGGCTCCAGCCAGCTGGGACCTGTTATGGTGCCTCTTCCCAGCCTGGAACTGGCTGCCCCCCACCCCAATCTCTGTAGCTCTCCTTACTCCCCATCCTATGCCCCCCACCCTTATTCACAGGGACCTTCTGCCCCCCGAATCACAGGAAGGGGTCTCTGGCCTGTGCTCTGCAGAAGGTCTCGCTGGATGGTCTGCATGGCCCCTTCTGGCCTCAGCTGTCGTGAAATGTATTTTATTTGTTTTAGCTGCCTGGGAAAAAAACCTGTCACTGTCCACATCAAAGGGTCTGCTTTTTACAGAAACATAAGGTCGTTCTTGTTAAAAGCTAGGATCTGTACCCCACAAATCACCAGATTTAAACACCGAACATGTGGAGATTTGTTTTCATTGAAAAGAATATCATGAAGGTTGCATGTTTCGCATGTGCCAGTAGGTAGCGCGGGGAATGAATCTCTCTGTGTGTGCCCAGCTCTGGCAACGCCAAGGAGAGCTGCCCCCAGTCACACCCACCCAACCCTTTGCCAATCAGCCCTGCCTCCGTGTCCCCTCAAGGAGATCTGCCTGGCCTACACTTGGCATCCAGCCAATGTGCCCACCCGGCCCTGTGGGGAGAGAGCACAACAGTCTCCAGGGTCTTTCTGTGCTGGGCGCTGGGGCGCAGGCTCACTGCAGAAGGAGGGGGCAGCCGGCTCTGGAGACTGAGGGCTAAACAAAGGACTGAGGAGAGACCCGGCGGGGAGTTGTTAAGTGTGGGCTGCTGGAAGCAGGAGGGTCTCCTGAACTGGGACAAAAGAGGGGTCAGAGAGCTCTGTGCTGATCAAGATGGACCGTGCTGTAACTTTCTGCTCCCTGTGCTAACCACGGAGCTTCTATGCGGTGCTCCAGGCATCTAATAAACCCTGCTGCTTTTACAGTGCTGGCTGCAAGTCACTGCAGCTGCTGACGCTGGGGGTCACTGCATTGCTCCGTTTGGGGGTTCAAGTCTCTCTCAGCTGTCCAACTCAGGCAGACTTGCTGCAGGGAGCTCACAGTGTGTTGCAGGGGGGCTGAAGGCTCCGCGGTTCAGTCCCAGGAGGTGGTGAAGCCCAGTGGCTCACCCTAGTGAGAGAGCGTGACCCGAAGGGGGCTGACACGTGAAGGGCTCCTCCCAGGGACTGTTCCAGAGCCGTGCGAGAGCACCGGGCCCGTGGATCTGTGACACCACAGGTGCCGGCTTCCTCCGGGCCCCAGGGGTGCTCAACCTCCCACTCCACCCCAGGTCCTGTCCCCACCCCCAGCCGACCCCTTCCTCCCAAGTCCCTGCCCCGCCTCTTCCCACTCCTGCCCTGCCCCATGCCCCGCCCTAGCCCTTCTCCCAAGCCCCCACCTCGCCTCTTCCTACCCAGTTCTGCCCCCTCCCCTGAGCGTGCCCCAGCCCCACTTCTCCCCCTCCCACCTAGAGCCTCCTGCACACTGCGGAACAGCTGATCACAGCGGCTGGGAAGCGCTGGGAGGGAGCGGGAGGAGTTGATCGGTGGGGCCACTGGCGGACAGGAGGTGCTGGGGGGAAGGGAGGGAGCTGGCTGCTGGTGGGCACTAAGCACCTGCTAATTTTTTTCCATGGCGCACCCACGGAGTCGGCGCCTATGCGTCACACCTGTGTTCTGACAAAGCTGTTTGATGTCACTGGTTTCAGACTCAGGGCCCAGCCCCTGAAGGCAACAATGGCAGGGCATGATGGATAAACAGGGGAATCGTGAGTTGGAGCAGAGAGGTTATTGTTCCTCTGTATTTGGCCTTGGTGTAACCATCGCTGGAATCCCGTGTGACAGCCTCAAGTTGCTCAATGGATTTAGTTTGTAAGCAGAGTCAGGATGAGCTCTACCCTGACATCTGGTGGCGAGTCATGGTGGGTTGTGGAAAAGAACTACAGGGGCTGATCTCATTTGCATAGGCACACCCACCCTGCCTAGATGGTCACTCTGGCTGCTGTAGGAGCCCCAGTTTCTCTGTTATTGGGGCAGGAATAAACTGTTATTATCCTGATTATGTGAATCAAGGACAGTGGAACTTTACTTGGCCTTTTGTTATGATGGGGGGACTCGCCATCAACTAAGCAGCACTCACTAGGCAAGGGTCATGGGTTCCAAGTCCCAGTGAATAGAGAGAGGTTGGGGACAGGTATTAATATCTGGTGGTATTCCTTCTCTTGCCACTGTGGAATATCAGAGATAATTTAGATTCCATTAGGAATCTAGTTACAGGCTGCTGAGCTGAATTCACTTTAGGCTAATGGTGCACCAGCACTGAGGCTCCCCTACTACAAGCTGAAATCACAAAAGAGCTAAACTTACAAAGAACTGAAATTACCGAGTGTTGTGTTAAGTAGTTGTGGAGCCTGAAGATATATTGTGGAGCAGTTTGTGGGACGGCTGGAGCGGCTCATGGGATGGCTGGCCAAGCAGAGTGGCTGGTGGACCAGAGCAGTTTGTGGGACGCCTGGAGCAGCTCATGGGGGTGGCTGGCAGAGTGAGTGATTCATGGGATGGCTGGTGGAGCAGAGCGGAGCCCCATGGAGAGGTGTGGCAATCAGCTTTGGACCATGTAAGGTGCCCCTTAACCACCACCCCCCATCTCCACCCAGGTTGGGAGGTAAAACTCTGCAGATAAACTTTCAAACCCTGGGGCTGCCCTGACCAGGGGGCTCTTCAGTCTAGCAGAGAAAGTTCTAACAAGAGCCAGTGGCTGGAAGTTGAAGCTAGACCAATTCAGACTGGAAATAACTGGAGTGCCCCAGGGGTCTGTCCTAGGGCTGGTTTTATTCAACATCTTCATTAATGATCTGGAGGATGGGATGGATTGCACCCTCAGCAAGTTCACGGATGACACTAAACTGGGGGGAGAGGTAGATACGCTGGAGGGTAGGGATAGGGTCCAGAATAACGTAGACAAATTGGGCCAAAAGAAATCTGATGAGGTTCAACAAGGACAAGTGCAGAGTCCTGCACTTAGGATGGAAGAATCCCACACACCGCTACAGGCTGGGGACCAACTGGCTAAGCAGCCGTTCTCCAGAAAAGGACCTGGGGATTACAGTGGACGAGAAGCTGGATATGAGTCAGCAGTGTGCCCTTGTTGCTAAGAATGCTAACGGTATATTGGGCTGCATTAATAGGAGAATTGCAAGCAGACGGAGGGAAGTGATTATTCCCCTCTACTTGGCACTGGTGAGGCCACATCTGGAGTATTTTATCCAGTTTTGGGGCCCCCACTACAGAAGGATGTGGACAAATTGGAGAGAGTCCAGCGGAGGGCAATGAAAACGATTAAGGGGCTGGGGCACATGACTTATGAGGAGAGGCTGAGGGAACTGGGCTTGTTTAGTCTGCAGAAGAGAAGAGTGAGGGGGGGATTTGATAGCAGCCTTCAACTACCTGCAGGGGGGTTCCAAAGAGGATGGAGCTCGGCTGTTCTCAGTGATGGCAGATGACAGAACAAGGAGCAATGGTCTCAAGTTGCAGTGGGGGAGGTCTAGGTTGGATATTAGGAAACACTATTTCACTAGGAGGGTGGTGAAGCACTGGAATGGGTTCCCTCAGGAGGTGGTGGAATCTCCATCCTTAGAGGTTTTTAAGGCCCGGCTTGACAAAGTCCTGGCTGGGATGATTTAGTTGGGGTTACTCCTGCTTTGAGCAGGGGGTTGGACTAGATGACCTCCTGAGGTCTCTTCCAACCCTAATCTTCTATGATTCTATGATAAGGTATAACATTCTTAACAGGAAGAAAAGGAGTACTTGTGGCACCTTAGAGACTAACCAATTTATTTGAGCATAAGCTTTCGTGAGCTACAGCTCACTTCATTGGATAATAACTTTTGGAACAATGTACTAAAGGCCACGGTGAATTCTCTGTCACTGGCGATTTGTAACTCAAGATGGGTTGCTCTTTTCTGAGAGATCCACTGCTCTGCTTCAAACCAGGACGAATTCAGGGCAGTCCTATGGCCCGTGTTAGACAGGAGGTCAGACTAGATCAGGGGTTCTCACAACAAATTTTTTGGTGGCCTCAGCGAGTGGCCATCAACTCTTGCTGGTGGTCGCTCTGACAGTTTTTCCTAAAATATGTAATTAACTTTAGGAAAAACAAATAAATATGCTCGTACCCATGTCCAAATCACTGTAATTTATTTACGTAGGGTTATTTTTTGCAGACTCAATAATAAAAATAATGTACAATTGTCTCTATTCTTTAGACCTAAACAGACGAGAAACACAAATAATGTGCTTTGCATGTTTTGCTTTTTCGGTTGATATTTTTTTCAGACTTGCTAGCTAGTAAGTCTGCTACTGTGAAAACTGAGAGTTGTATATTTGTTAATATCACTTTTCACAGCAGACTTACTCAGCCCCAGCAAGCTAGGGGACACATTAAGCCCTAGATGGGGAGGTGGAGGGGGGCAGGGAGGATGGGGGCTGGGTAGAGGGCTGAAGGAAGCAGCGGGGGACAGAGCAATGGTGGAGGTTGAGCCCAGGGCTGGAGCCTGGGGTCTGGCTGCGCAGCTGGGGGCTGGAGTGGTGTCAGAGGCAACGTGGGGGGTGAGCCTAGGGCCAGAGCTCTTTAGAACATGGGATTTTCTCCTAACACCGCAACCGAGTGACCTCTTGATCTTCCTTTCGATAAGCCGCTTAGACTGATCGCTAGCTGCCATCACTTTGTGGTAGGGCTTGCAGCTCCTATGAAACGACCTCACACAGCTCAGGGTCTATACCAACCTCTCATTCTCCCTAACCACAGCGCTTGGCCTCCTCACTTCATGTGACAGGGAGTTCCTCAGGGTAAATCTGCTGGGGAGGGAATTTACTGTGTCCTTTTCAATCAGGGTGAAGGGACTTACTCCCCACACCGGCCCTGAGCGGGTTGAATTAGGCCAGGCAGGCCCAATTAAGTGGCAAACAGGGGAGAGATTTAGGCTACGGGGAGGCTGCTAATTGGATGCAGGCTCATTTGTGAGGGACCAGGCAGGGTTTACATCAAGCCAAGAGCCTGATACCAAAGAGAGGGCTGCAGAGTGAGGTGTGGCAGGGAAGGGAGAGGAAAGGAGGGGCAGGAATCCATGAGACCTAGGAGAGAGGGGGCTGACTAGGATGTGGGGAAGCAAGGTAGGAAGTGGTCCAGGGGTGAAAACAGTGAGGTTAGGGAAGATGTGCAGACTTTGACTGTCTGGTAAAGGGCCCTGGGGTGGAACCCAGAGAAGAGGGAAGGTCTGGGTTCCCCTGCTGGGGGGCACTGCCAGGGGCAGCCAGCTAGCAGGCTGTCTGGGTCACGGCAGAAGGGACAGGGTCAGGGCAGTGGGTGCGAGGACAGTTGAGTGTGCTTTCGCTGGAGAGATCTGGAAAGTGTCCTACCCCAGCAAAGGAATCCACTTAGTGAGCTGGCCGGAGGGGCAAGTCATGAAGAGGTAGCAGCCAGCAAGAGCAGGGCCACAGACTGAGAGTACCAGAGAGTGATGGGATGCAACCACTGGAAGGGGCATCAGCCGGGCAGAGTTATCCCCAGAGTGGCCACGAGGAGGTGCCGTCGAGCTGCGAGCAGAGAGCTCCATGACAATACGTGGCGCGAGTGATTTCGTCCCCTTGCGTGGCCTGGAAGCCTGGCCTGGAGCCACACCACATTCCCCTTTCCCGTCCACAAACGCACCCGTTGGATTTGGGGATGGTTTGAAACGACCTGAGATATCTGGCAAGGCAGGCGAATGACTCCGAGAGCTTGGCTTTATTGGACGTTATCCAATAGCACCTCGAGACCCTGAATGAGATGGGGGCCCCGGTGCCGCAAGGAGTCCAGCTGAGATCAAGGCACCCCATTACTCTGGGAGTGCCATCTTCACAGTGAGAGTCAAGCCGTGCGCCAAATAGCTCACAGTATAAATAGAAAATGGCAGGATAATTCTCCCCACGTTACAAGTGGGGAAACTGAGGTGCAGAGAGACTCAGCCCCTCCTGCTCTAATGCACTAGACCCCACTCCCCTCCCACTTCTGGGAGAGAACCCAGGAGTCCTGGCTCCAGCCCCCCTGCTCTAACCCACTAGACCCCACTCCCGTCCCACCATTGGGGATAGAACTCAGGAGTCCTGGCTCCCAGCCCCCCATGGATGCTCTGAAGGCTTGTTCCAAGTCCTGCTTGTCAGTTTGGTGTGTGGATCTGGAGCAGCCCATGGGGGGTGATGTGGGTGGAGCTATTGTTTGGGGGCGCCGGGGGGAGGGGAGGCACCGCTCTGGGCCGGCTCGGCCCCATCACCCTCCATCCTCTGCTTGTACTGGCGCTTGAAGAAGCCAAACTGGAAGGAGACAGAGGGGAGAGAAGGTGAGAGCCAGCCAGCCAGAAACAGATGGACTCATGCCTGGTGGGGGGTTGGGGTGTGGGAGCCCCCAAAGTAAATACCCTCTCCCCTTCCCCACCAGCTGGGAGAGTCACAGGCCCCACCCCCAGGGTGATGAGCTGTGGGGGAGGGGTCCAAGCCCTACCCCCCTCACCTTGTAGAGGGCTGCAGTGATGAGAGCCAGCAGGACCAGGCCCCCCACGCTGCTGCCCACGATGATGGGCAGGTAGTTATAGACCTCGGAGTGCTCCACCACCGTCTGCACCTGCGGGAGAGGAGCTGTGAGATGGGGACCCAGGAGTCCTGGCACCATCACCCGCCCCTGCTCTAAACCCCCAGACCCCACTTCAATCCAGAGCAGGGACAGGACCCAGGAGTCCTGGCTCCCAGCTCTAACCACTACCCGATGCTCTCTCTATCCCGGGCACAGTCACTCTGGTACCTGGCGCTGGATGAATCCCTCCTTCTGGGTGTATTTCCTCTCCTCGTATTCAATCCGGGCCTCGCTCACCAGACTCACTTTCTGCTGCTGAGTCTGGAACAGATAAATTCACCGTCCCTGACCAGAAATGGCACAAACCAGGCCGGAGCAACAACCCAGAGGGACCCAGAGCAATTTACAGGCCATTCACACAGGGGCAATCCCTTGCCCGGCACTGAGATGCAGCCACCTCTGGGGAGGGGAAGAGGAGTTGTTTACACAGGGGGTAGGGGGATCCCTCATCTCGTACCAGGAGGCAGAGGCAGCTCTCATACCTGGGAGACCCACTGGAAGCTGACGTTCCCTTTGATCATAAACTCCAGCGGCTGCTGCATTTCCAGGGAGGCGATTCTGCACCGGATCTTCTTACAGGTGGCCACAGAGCAGTCCTGGGTGCAGAAGGATATAGCCGGGTGAGGCAGGGGGCATGCAGGGGCTCAGCATGGCCATGAGGGTCTGGGTCTGTTTATAGCAGGGGTCCCTCCCCCAGCTCAGCCCCCCACTCGCTGTCTGTGTTAGTGCGGAGGGGAAGGGGCTGCTGGGACCCGCACCAGCCTGTACTCACCAGCAGGGGGCGCTCGCTCATCTGCTTCACAAAGTCCTTCGAACCCGGCGTTTCAGCCTCACTGGTGCACTGAGCCAGCTGGGGCTGGGGAGGGAGAGAGACACGGTGTTAACGGGGGCGGGAAGGGGACCCGGGGCCTTTCCCCTCTATGGGGCACTGGCTCTAATCCGGCCCTAGGACAGGGGACTGGCTGGTTTAGGGGGTGGGGACAGGGTGTGTTTCCCCCGTAAGCAGCCTGTCCCAGCAGGGGACGCTGTAGGGCCGAGCAGATGTCACTGGGCCCATCTCACACACACAAGGGCAGGGAGAGGCAGGTACCTTGGAGGGGACGACCTCAGAGGCGTCCCACACCCGGACCCCGCTCAGCTCCACGGGGAACTGGAACGTGACCGAGATGGGGACGCTTCGCTGCCGCAGGTTCTTGACCTGAAAGAAACAGACTCGCTACAGGGCACTGCAGGAAGAGAACCCAGGAGCTCTGATCCCCAGCCCCCGCTCTGTCACTCAGACCCCACTCCCCTGCCAGAGCTGGGGATAGAACCCAGGAGTCCTGGCTCCCTGCCCACCGCTTCCCTCTCCCTCCCCCTCCGTGCTCTAACCCACTAGATCCCATTCAACCACTTCCACTCCCTCCCTCTTGCCCCATCTCCCCCCTCGCACTCTGTGCCGCCGGCCTCACCTCGTACCCATGTGTCACTGGCATACTTGTCTCTGCGTCCTTGACAGAGAAGTTGACGTACTTGGTCGACTCCTCGAGGCTGGGGGAGGAAAAGGACGGAAGGAAGGAGAGAGACGGGAGTGTGCTGGATGGGGCTGGAGAGTGGCGGTGGGGTGTCATGTCCAGAAGGGGCGCTGTGCTACAGGGAAGGGCTCAATAGGGGGCACTCTCCCCTTGCAATCAGCACTGGCACCTATGACCCCGTGCAGCGCTAGGGGGCGCTGTGTTGCAAGGAACAGGGGACCCAGTAGGGGGCGCTCTCCGCTCTGTCTCCACACTGACCTACCTGTTGAGGATGACGAAGATGCCGTACTTGACCGGCAGCTCCGCCCGGTGATTCATGCGCTCGGTGATGGGGCCGCCATTGTCACTGGGGGGAGTGGAGGACAAAGGGGAGAGACATGAGGAGATGCAGGCAGATAACTGTGCAGGGAGGCTGCATCACGGATTCATAGATTCATAGATATTTAGGTCAGAAGGGACCATTATGATCATCTAGTCTGACCTCCTGCACAACGCAAGCCACAGAATTTCACCCACCCACTCCTGCAAAAAACCTCACACCTATATCTGAGCTACTGAAGTCCTCAAATCGTAGTTTAAAGACTTCAAGGAGCAGAGAATCCTCCAGCAAGTGACCCGTGCCCCATGCTACAGAGGAAGGCGAAAAACCTCCAGGGCCTCTTCAAATCTGCCCTGGAGGAAAATTCCTTCCCGACCCCAAATATGGCAATCAGCTAAACCCTGAGCATATGGGCAAGATTCATCAGCCAGATACTACAGAAAATTCTTTCCTGGGTAACTCGGATCCCACCCCATATAATATCCCATCACAGGCCATTGGGCCTATTTACCATGAATATTTAATTACCAAAAGCATGTTATCCCATCATACCATCTCCTCCATAAACTTATCGAGTTTAATCTTAAAGCCAGATAGATCTTTGGCCCCACTGCTTCCCTTGGAAGGCTGTTCCAAAACTTCACTCCTCTGATGGTTAGAAACCTTCGTCTAATTTCAAGTCTAATCTTCCTAGTGGCCAGTTTATATCCATTTGTTCTTGTATCCACATTGGTACTGAGCTTAAATAATTCCTCTCCCTCTCCGGTATTTATCCCTCTGATATATTTATAGAGAGCAATCATATCTCCCCTCAACCTTCTTTTAGTTAGGCTAAACAAGCCAAGCTCCCTGAGTCTCCTTTCATAAGACAAGTTTTCCATTCCTCGGATCATCCCAGTAGCCCTTCTCTGTACCTGTTCCAGTTTGAATTCATCCTTCTTAAACATGGGAGACCAGAACTGCACACAGTATTCCAGGTGAGGTCTCACCAGTGCCTTGTATAATGGTACTAAAACCTCCTTATCCCTACTGGAAATACCTCTCCTGATGCATCCCAAGACCGCATTAGCTTTTTTAACAGCCTTATGACATTGGCGGCTCATAGTCATCCTATGATCAACCAATACTCCAAGGTCTTTTTCCTCCTCCGTTACTTCTAATTGATGCGTCCCTAGCTTATAACTAAAATTCTTGTTATTAATCCCTAAATGCATGACCTTACACTTCTCACTGTTAAATTTCATCCTATTACTATTACTCCAATTTACAAGGTCATCCAGATCCTCCTGTAGGATATCCCAGTCCTTCTCTAAATTGGCAATACCTCCCAGCTTTGTATCATCCGCAAACTTTATTAGCACACTCCCACTTTTTGTGCTGAGGTCAGTAATAAAAAGATTAAATAAGATTGGTCCCAAAACCGATCCTTGAGGAACTCCACTGGTAACCTCCCTCCAGCCTGACAGTTCACCTTTCAGGAGGACCCGTTGTAGTCTCCCCTTTAACCAATTCCTTATCCACCTTTCAATTTTCCTATTGATCCCCATCTTATCCAATTTAACTAATAATTCCCCCTGTGGCATGATATCAAATGCCTTACTGAAATCGAGGTAAATTAGATCCACTGCGTTTCCTTTGTCTAAAAAATCTGTTACTTTCTCAAAGAAGGAGATCGGGTTGGTTTGGCATGATCTACCTTTTGTAAAACCATGTTGTATTTTGTCCCATTTACCATTGACTTCAATGTCCTTAACTACCTTCTCCTTCAAAATTTTTTCCAAGACCTTGCATACTACAGATGTCAAACTAACAGGCCTATAATTACCCGGATCACTTTTTTCCCTTTCTTAAAAATAGGAACTATGTTAGCAATTCTCCAATCATATAGTACAACCCCTGAGTTTACAGATTCATTAAAAATTCTTGCTAATGGGCTTGCAATTTCATGTGCCAATTCCTTTAATATTCTTGGATGAAGATTATCTGGGCCCCCCGATTTAGTCCCAGTAAGCTGTTTGAGTTTCGCTTCTACCTCAGATATAGTAATATCTACCTCCATATCCTCATTCCCATTTGTCATGCTACCATTATCCCTAAGATCCCCTTTAGTCTTATTAAAGACTGAGGCAAAGTATTTGTTTAGATATTGGGCCATGCCTAGATTATCCTTGACCTCCACTCCATTCTCAGTGTTTAGCAGTCCCACTTCTTCTTTCTTTGTTTTTTTCTTATTTATATGGCGACAGAACCTTTTACTATTGGTTTTAATTCCCTTTGTAAGGTCCAACTCTACTTGACTTTTAGCCTGTCTCACTTTATCCCTACATGTTCTGACCTCAATAAGGTAGCTTTCCTTGCTGATCCCTCCCATCTTCCACTTCCTGTATGCTTTCTGCTTTTTCTTAATCACCTCTCTGAGATGCTTGCTCATCCAGCTTGGTCTACAACTTCTGCCGATGAATTTGTTCCCCTTTCTTGGGATGCAGGCTTCCGATAGCTTCTGCAGCTTTGATTTTAAATAATCCCAGGCCTCCTCTACCTTTAGATCCATAAATTCTTCAGTCCAATCCACTTCCCTAACTAATTTCCTTAATTTTTGAAAGTCAGCCCTTTTGAAATCAAAAACCCGAGTTGCAGATTTATTTTTGTTAATCCTTCCGTTCAGTTTGACCTGAATTAGCTCATGATCACTTGAACCAAGATTATCCCCTACAACCATTTCTTCTATGAGGTCCTCACTATTCACCAAAACCAAATCTAAAATGGCATCCCCTCTAGTCGGTTCAGCAACTACTTGCTGAAGGAATCCATCAGCTATCGCATCTAGGAAAATCTGAGCCCTATTATTATTACTAGCACTCGTCCTCCAGTCTATATCTGGAAAGTTAAAGTCTCCCATGATCACGCAGTTTCCATTTGTATTTACTTCATTAAAAACATTAAAGAGGGCTCTATCCATATCCAAATTAGATCCCGGCGGTCTCTAGCAGACCCCAAGCACTATCCCAGGGCAGGCTCTAGTAGTTTTCTTCCCCAATGTGATTTTTGCCCAGACGGACTCTGTCTTATCCATTCCATCGCTTCTTATTTCTTTACATTCTACCTCATCATTGATATACAATGCTATTCCAACACCTTTACCTTTATTTCGGTCTTTCCTAAACAGCACATCCCCTTCAATACCTGTCGTCCAGTCATGACTCCTATTCCACCCTGTTTCTGTTATCCCTTTATCTGGTTTCACTTCCTGCACCAGTAGCTCTAGTTCCTCCATTTTGTTACCTAGGCTCCTCGCATTGGTGTACAAACATCTTAATTTTTGCTGTTTGGCCTCGCTCGCATTCTGTACCCTATTAGGCACGGTCATTCTACAGCCAGTATGACCTATTAGCCCTTCCTCCTTATATCCATTCTCCTACCCATGGCTGTATCCTTTCTTACTTTGTTTTCTTCCTTCTCAGTGCTAAAATCCGGCCTCTGCCCTGCCCTGTTGCCTGTATGGCCCTCTCCCATTGCCCCCACCCCGCCCCCTGGCCCTGCACGGCCCCCTCACCTGCTGGCATTGGCCGTGATCTGCAGCCTGTCCCCCAGGTCGGCCTCAGAGGAGACATCGAAGGTGGCCACGAAGACGGCCTGGAAAACACACAGGGGTTGAGAGCTGCTGGGCTCAGGGCCTGGGGAACTGCCAGAGACTGCGGGGACGGGGCAGGCACAGGGGATCAGGGGGTCTGTTGTATCAACTTAGATGGTATAAATGGGCCCAGAGAGGCAAAAGTGTCAACATGACCCTGTCCCTGCCAGACAGCATTAACCCGGTTTGGGATCCAGAGACCTCAGCCGGCTCCGTGCCGTGGCCACACCCCATTCACCGTCCTTGTCTCACAGTCGCAGAAGAAATCAGCTAAGGCCTTGGCACTGTAACGTGTTCAGCAAGACTTTTATCCTCCCCCTGCCCGGCGCCTGGAGAGAGTGTTTTATCCTCCCCGCCTCGTCTGAGCGGCTCTGGACGCAATCCCTGGCCGCTGGGGGAGGAGAGGAGGTTAGTGGAGGGGCTGGAGCCGGCCTGGGCGCGGGGGTTAAAGTCCAGCCCCGGTTCCCGGTGGACAACACCGGGCAGAGGCACAAGTGGGGAGAGCAAAGAGCAGCGCAGGGAGAAAATGCCCCTTCTGCGGCCCCTGCTGCCCCTCGCCGGCAGCCTCCCTGCTGGAGAGACCCCGGAGCAGCCGCTCCGAGAGCTGGCAAGTGGGGCCAGCCTTGGGCTGGTGCGGGTGCTGGATTTCGCCGCCATCCTGAGCCCCGGCTCCCGGCAGCGAGCACCACCCACAGGCGTGGCCGGCTCAGCCAGACGCTCCTGAGACGGAGGGGAGCGAGAAGAGAAGAAAGAAGGCGGGGAAGGGAAGGAGCCCATGGGGCGGGGGTGGGGAGACAAAGTCGCCCATCCCAGGTGGTGTCTGGATCTCGCCGGGGGCAGGGGCAAGTGGGTCCCTCTCCCTGGGCCTGGCCCAGTCGGATCAGGACACCTCTCAGGATCAGGATGATGAAGGCCCAGTGGCGTCACGCTGGGTCCGAGGGGACGGGTTTGGGGGCAGCCATGACAATGACGCTGGCTCCTTCCCTTTCCCTTGTCTTTTACTGAGTCACGGTCGCCTCCCTCCCCCCCCCCCGAGTCACTTCTTTTAAGGACCCCAAATGTGGGAGGGAACAGCCCCTCCCCTCGTTATTTTCTCCCCCAGTGAAGCCTGATTTCCAGCCCCCCAAGTCTGGCCCTTGGTTTGCAGCCCCAGCAGGGCCTGACCCCAGCCCCGGAGTGACCTCAGGGCTCTGTTTGCACTGACTCGCCGGACTCCCCAGGGCGCTTTCCCCAGCACATCGCTTGTCACGGGCTGGGCTGACCCCAGGGAACTGCCCCTCTCTGCTCTCAGCTGGGCTCACCCCTGGGGAGTCCACAGGCCAGGGCCCATCCCTACCTCAGCCCCGCTCCAGAAGATGGGGTGGTTGATGTGGCAGGTGCTGTTTCTCTGAGTCTGTTCCTCGGAGCCCACGGCTGAGCTGCACTTAACGGCCACGGCTCTCCTGTTGGACTGAGCACGAGAGACCAGCCAGTGAGAGATGTGGCCCACAGAGCCCCCTGCCGAGCCCCCGCCTGCCCCCTGCAGCACAGCGCCCCCTGCAGAGCCCCCCGCCCATGCCCTGCAGCACAGCGCCCCCTGCAGAGCCCCCCGCCCATGCCCTGCAGCACAGCGCCCCCTGCAGAGCCCCCCGCCCATGCCCTGCAGCACAGCACCCCCTGCTGAGCCCCCTGCTGAGCCCCCTGCCTGCCCCCTGCAGCACAGCGCCCCCTGCTGAGCCCCCTGCCCCCTGCAGCACAGCGCCCCCTGCAGAGCCCCCCGCCCATGCCCTGCAGCACAGCACCCCCTGCTGAGCCCCCTGCCTGCCCCCTGCAGCACAGCGCCCCCTGCTGAGCCCCCTGCCTGCCCCCTGCAGCACAGGGGCCCCTGCTGAGCCCCCTGCCCCCTGCAGCACAGCGCCCCCTGCTGAGCCCCCCGCCCACGCCCTGCAGCACAGCGCCCCCTGCCTGCCCCCTGCAGCACAGTGGCCCCTACTGAGCCCCTGCCTGCTTTCTGCACCAGCTGATCTCTCACATCCATCCCCTGTGTCCTGCCCCCCATGCCTGCAGTGTTTGGGAGGATTGGGTGGTACCTGGAGCAGCAGGACCCGGCGGTAGGATAGCGCGGCCGGGTAGAAGAACCGCACTGTGGTGCTGTAGGAATTCTCCCCGCGGTTCTGGATGGAGACGGTGATGTTGAGTTCGGGGATGACCCCCACCACCAGGGTGCTCAAGCTAAGGGGGAGAGAAAGGGGTGAGCTTCCTCAGGGCAGTGCCCTAACAGCTCTGTGAGCTTCCTATAATGGTGCCCACTCAGAAGCCATATGGAAATGTGGCATGGTCTGAGGCCTGATGGAGTAGACAGGCCTCACCATGGAGTGTGGGGGAGGAAGCAGAGTGGGTGAAGAAATTCTCTTACCCTGAGAAATTGAAGGAAATTTGTAGTTCATCAGTGCAGACTTTGTCACTGCCACAGTCCTTCTCAAACGGGAGCTAGAGAGAGATCCAGGAAGGGGTTGCGGGGAGAAAGCAGGGAGCAGGGTGGGTGCGAGGGAATTGGAGTGAAACTCAGTCAACATTGTCACTCATCCTCCAATCTCAATTGTCACCACCACTACCAGTGCAGTGTGAACTAACACCGTCACCACGAACACACCCGCAATAACCTCCCGCAACACTGTCCCCACCACCACTGCATTCTCAGCCTCAACAACCACCAGCCCCAATACTGATTTGACAGTTTCACCAGCATTGCAGCTGCCGCCACCTCTGCCAACACTATGAACCACACGACCAACTCTGCCATCACCACCACAATCAATAAAGTGTTAACCAACACCGTGACCAGCATCATAACCACTACCATCTCAGCCAACACTGTAACCAACACCGTTACAATCTCATCAGCCACTACTAAAAATGTAATCTGAAACAACACCGTTACCAACAATGCAGACACTGCCATCGCAACCAAAACCTCTATAGTCTCAACCACAACCACAATCAGTATCAATACAATCTGAACCAACACTGTCACAACAACTCACCCACTCTACCTAAGACTACACTTCCGCCAACATCACAGTCTAAACTGCAACCACCTACCAGTACAGTCCCAACATGTAACTTACAACACAGCCACAACATCCTCAACCAACACGGTCACCAACACCACTGATCTCCCCACCACCACCAATATATTCTGTACCAATGTCAGCATCTACAACACAGTCACTCCCACCGTGCCTCAGACAGTCACCAAGGTCAGTATAGTCTGAACCAGCAATGTCAACACCAACAAAACCACTATAACCTCACCTCACACTGCCAACAAGACCAGTACGGTCTAATCTAAACCAATGTCACCAACACAATCGCTCCAACCTCAGACGATAACCTCACCAAGCTCACCGCAGTCTGAATCAACAATGTCACCAACGGCACAACCCCTAAACCCTCAAACACTCGCCCGCACGACAATCGCACGCATTAACACCAAGCATTGCTACAGTCTGCACCGGTGCTGTAACCAAAAGCACACCCACTAAAACCTCTGCAGACCGTCACAAACCCCTTTGCCTGGCCCCGGCGGCCTTACCGAGCCTGCAGACACCCGCGTGGAGTCCTCACTCAGGATGGGTCTGAGGCGGCTGGCGGAAGTGATGGGTTCCCCCGTCAGGGTGTAGTTGAGGCGTAGGGTGATGGGGGTCAGGGTGTCCTCAGGGCAGAGCTGGGGAGACAGACACGTAGGGACCCATGAGGAAAGGTGGGATCCATAGAGAGGTTTGTTCTCTGGGTGATTTGGGAGCAAGGGACAGGGTTGGAGGGGCAGACACAGCGGGAGGGGAAGGAGCTGGGACCCCGGTGCTCACAGGTAGCTTTATCTTATACGGATCACATTTCGTCTCAATGCCGAGCCGCAGTTCCCTGCTCAGGACGGGGCCGGTAGAGTCGAAGGCGGCTCGGATCTTCGTCCTCCCGGGGTCCAAGGACAGGCTGTACTGGATGGTGCTGGAGATCCCGTTGCCTATCACAGAGGAGAAATAAGGGTCAGAGAGACGTGAGAGCAGGATCGTTAATGGGACACAGAACAGGGGGCCTTGGCACCAGCTCCAATCTGGCCCCAGGGGAGGGACTGGCTGGCTCAGGAGGTGGGAATGGAATATGGGGCTTTTCCCCTCTAGGGGGCACTGGCTCCAATCCAATTCCAGCATGGGGCACTGGCTGGCTCAGGGGGGTGGGGAATGAGACATCGGGCCTTTCCCCCCTAGAGGGCGCTGTTTTCAATCCAACCCCAGGGCAGGAGACTGTCTCTCTTAGTGGGGAGGGGAGCAGGGGGTGGGTTTGGTCTGACCTAGGCTGTCCCTGGTGCCCTTAGTGACGGTGAAGCAGATATTTGCCCTGCTGGCCTCCGTGTCAAGCTGCTCTTGCTCCTGGCAGTCGAAGGCCGAGGTTGGGATCATGGGGGGCTGGAAGCTGATGGAGACCCTGACTCTGAGCACCGGCCGGGACCTGCCATGGGAGGAACAGAATCATCACCCAGCTGCTCCCTGCAATGGGGCCAGGCCCCTTCCCTCCCCTGATCCTCCCACCCAGCCTGGATGTGCTCACAGCACCCCAGGGAGATGGGATATGGACACGCAGCTCTGCTAGAGGAGATGCTGGGGGGCAGAGAAGGGAGCAGCAGAGCTGTCATTGTGCCATTCTCCAGCAGGGGGCAGCAGTCACACACACACACACACACATGCACTGGTGCTGTCTGTGACTGCCATGTGGAGCAGCGCAAGGACACAGAGTAACTCACCTCAGCAGCAGGACCTGCCCTTGTGCCCCCACCGCGATGTCTGGCAGTCCGTCCCCCGTCAGGTCTGTCCCGCCACTGGCGGCCTGGCCAAAGTAGTGCAGCCTGCTGGGAAACTGTGACCCCTCTATGCGCTGTGGGGCAGAGAGAGCAGTAAGGGGCGGGGAAGGGGCGGCTGTTCGGTATAATGGGCACTAGGGGGCAGCGGAGGGTGAGGGGTGGGAAAGGGGCGGCTGTACTGTACAATGGGCACTAGGAGGCAGCAGAGGGTGGGGGTGGGAAAGGGGCAGCTGTTCTGTACAATGGGCACTAGGGGGCAGCGGAGGGTGAGGGGTGGGAAAGGGGCGGCTGTACTGTACAATGGGCACTAGGAGGCAGCAGAGGGTGAGGGGTGGGAAAGGGGCAGCTGTTCTGTACAATGGGCACTAGGGGGCAGCGGAGGGTGAGAGGTAGGAAAGGGGCGGCTGTTCTGTACAATGGGCACTAGGGGGCAGTGGAGGGTGAGGGGTGGGAAAGGGGCGGCTGTTCTGTACAATGGGCACTAGGGGGCAGCGGAGGGTGAGGGGTGGGAAAGGGGCGGCTGTTCTGTACAATGGGCACTAGGGGGCAGGGAGGGTGAGGGGTGGGAAAGGGGCGGCTGTACTGTATAATGGGCACTAGGGGGCAGTGGAGGGTGAGGGGGAAAGGGGCGGCTGTTCTGTACAATGGGCACTAGGGGGCAGTGGAGGGTGAGGGGGTGGGAAAGGGGCGGCTGTTCTGTACAATGGGCACTAGGGGGCAGCGGAGGGTGAGGGATGGGAAAGGGGCGGCTGTTCTGTACAATGGGCACTAGGGGGCAGTGGAGGGTGAGGGGTGGGAAAGGGGCGGCTGTACTGTATAATGGGCACTAGGGGGCAGCAGAGGGTGAGGGATGGGAAAGGGGCGGCTGTTCTGTACAATGGGCACTAGGGGGCAGTGGAGGGTGAGGGGTGGGAAAGGGGCGGCTGTTCTGTACAATGGGCACTGGGGGGCAGCAGAGGGTGAGGGGTGGGAAAGGGGCGGCTGTTCTGTACAATGGGCACTAGGGGGCAGCGGAGAGTGAGGGGTGGGAAAGGGGCGGCTGTTCTGTACAATGGGCACTAGGGGGCAGCGGAGGGTGAGGGCTGGGGAAGGGGCGGCTGTACTGTACAATGGGCACTAGGGGGCAGCGGAGGGTGAGGGATGGGAAAGGGGCGGCTGTACTGTACAATGGGCAGTAGGAGGCAGCGGAGGGTGAGGGGTGGGAAAGGGGCGGCTGTTCTGTACAATGGGCACTAGGGGGCAGCGGAGGGTGAGGGGTGGGAAAGGGGCGGCTGTTCTGTACAATGGGCACTAGGGGGCAGCGGAGGGTGAGGGGGTGGGAAAGGGGCGGCTGTACTGTACAATGGGCACTAGGGGGCAGCGGAGGGTGAGGGGTGGGAAAGGGGCGGCTGTTCTGTACAATGGGCACTAGGGGGCAGCGGAGGGTGAGGGGTGGGAAAGGGGCGGCTGTTCTGTACAATGGGCACTAGGGGGCAGCGGAGGGTGAGGGGTGGGAAAGGGGCGGCTGTTCTGTACAATGGGCACTAGGGGGCAGCGGAGGGTGAGGGGTGGGAAAGGGGCGGCTGTACTGTACAATGGGCACTAGGGGGCAGCGGAGGGTGAGGGATGGGAAAGCAGCAGCTACAGGCTAATAGGCACTAGGGGGCTGTGGGGCCCCATCATGTCTCTTCGGGGCTTTGTGGTGACCCCTCCCCCCAGGAGCTGGGCTCACCTGTCTATACTGGGGATTGAGGCCTCCCTTTTCCCCATGGAAGATGTACAAGGCCCCGCTATTGTCGCTCTCCATGGGGGCCCCGATAGCCACATCCGTCTGTCCGTCCCCGCTGATGTCCCCGATTTCGGACATGCTGGCCCCAAAGCGTGCGAACGCCTGCCCCATCTGCCCCTGCAGTGTCTTGGTGCAGATCAGTGTCATCCCCTGCAGGCCCCATCGAAGGAAACACATGGGGAAAGGATCAGCACTGACTTCCAGCAGAGAGTACCCCTGCCCCTACTGACCATCTTTCCCTTGCTCTGCAGCAAAGCGCTCCTTGGCACCGCTCTGGGGCATTGTGGCCAGAACTGACTGGCAGGGAAAAGCTTCCCCGAACGATCCCCGCCCCCCCATCCTACTTCCTGGAGCACCACGCCTGTTACTGCCATGCTAACTGTCCCAGCATCACAACCCCATGGCAGTGCAGGCAAAGAAGAACCCCAGGCCATCCATCTTCCCCCTGGCTCCATCCTCTTTCTTACCGGCCAGTTAATCAGGCAGTTATAGACCCGTCCTCCATTCAGAGGTGTATGGTACATGGGGGCTCCGATTAGAACCAGGTCCGTGTTCCCATCTCTGTCGAGGTCCACAGCGCACAGTGTACCCCCAAAATATGAGCCAATCTGGAGAGGCAGATAAGTCACCCCTTTAATTTAATCACCTCCTCCTTCTTCTCCCACTGGGACCCTTCTCACCCTCTGGGGCTGAGGATTCAGTCCCAATCCTCATTCCATCCTCAGTCGCAGCCTCTCGCTGCACAGCGGGTGGTGCTGTTGCTGAAAGGGTTCTTGCACAACGAGGCAGCTAGATCTTGGAGAGACGCTGAATGCTAGTTGTGGTGCAATTCTTTCTAGCGGCTGTTCTAGCACGAGAAAAGTTTATTCACTGACTGAGTCACTCTTGTAAGTTCTGTTCCGCTGGAACGTATAGGCAGTTAGATCTTGGAGAAATTCACTTCGTTCGTGTAGTGTGATCCTTTTCGAACACTGCTGATATCACTAGTAATGTAATTTTCCTTGCCTGAGTCTCTCTAGCCCAGATCCACAAAGGTACTTATGTGCCTAACCCCCAGACTTAGGTGCACTGTGATTCACAAAACCTCTGCATGGCTGCTGCTGACCCCTTTAGGTGCCTAACCTGACTTGGTGCCTATGTTTTTGCAGTAGAAGCTCCTTATGTTGCTGCCTCAAGGGCAGGGCATGTGCACTCCTGTCTTACTCTAGGCAGCCAGTTGCCCATTTCCCACCACACCCCAGCAGGATCCACAAACTGGGGAAAGACAAACGCTCCTCCACCTGTAGGGCACCATCTGGTATGTGTGGTCAGAGGAGAAGGAGTTGAACAGGGGTCTGCTATATCTAAGGTCAGTGCCCTGACCCCGGAGCTGCGGGCTCCCTCGGTCTTGCCTGTTAAAGTTATTCCACTTTAATTGACTAATTAAATATCAGTTGGGCTGCAGAACATGTACAAATCACAACCACTCTACAGCCCAGTGGTCAGAGCACTCCCTGAGAGGGGGCAGAGCCCTGGTTAAATCCTTCTTCCTCATCAGACAAAGCAGGGACTTGAACCAGTGGTCGCCTGTGACCTGATGAGGACTCTAAGCCCCAGGCTATAAGTAGGGCCCTACCAAATTCACACTCCATTTTTGTACATTTCACGGTCACAGCATTTTAAAAATCTTGACTTTCACAGTTTCAGATATTTAAATCTTAAATTTCACTGTGTGGTAACAAAATATGAATATGTATTTAAAAAGGCAAAATATAAACATGCAAAGCCCTTAAGACTCAGCATTTCTCAAACTGGGGGTCCCAACCCAAAAGGGGGCTGCAAGGCTTTTATGGGGGGGGGGTCCACAGTATTGCCACATTTACTTCTGCGCTGCCTTCAGAGCTGGGTGGCCGGAGAGCAGTGGCTGCTAGCCGGGTGCCTGGCTCTGAAGGCAGCGCTGCAGCCAGCAGCAGCAGAGAATTAAGGGTGGCAATACTGTGACCCCCTTTAGGTAGGGAATCCCAGTTTGAGAAATGTTGTTTACATTTGTATACTTTTACCCTATAGTATAGGATACTTTTATAGTATAGGGTAAAAGTACACAAAAGACCAGATTTCACAGAGGAGACCAGATTTCACAGTCCAAGACGTGTTTTTCACTGCCATGAATTTGCTGTAAGGGAGGCCCTCCCTCATCTCCTCCGGCTGGTTTGTGAAGATCGTGGTGGCTCTGAGCCTGCCAACTGGATGAGGGCTGATATTTGAGCTAGGTGGAAGAGCGCCTATCTTCCCCCCATTCATGGATCACTGGCAGGGGTAGGTGCCTCCCTGCAGCATCATGCCTAAGTCCCTTGGTGGGTCTGGGCCTCCATCGATATCCATCTTATGAGTTCTGTCTAGACTGTAAGTGAAGGTAACAGCAGTGGGATATTGGAGAGAGGCTGAATGTCAGCTGCGGTGCAATTCCCTAAACCAGTCAAGGTTATCCCCTGCCTGAGGCTCTCTGACTGAATCGTTCCTGAAAGTGAATCCAAACACAAATATTACACGATGTCAAAATCTTACAGGCTTCCTCCAGCCCTCTCTCTCTCACACCCACACTCCATATTACCAGTAACGCTCCCCATACCTGCTCTCCCAGCACCTCTGATCTGCGTGTCCATTCCCCACCCTTGGTATCTCGGAAGAACACGACGACTTTGCCGGTGTGTTGGTAGCGAGGGGCCCCGACCACGTAGCTGCTCTGCCCATTGGCTGTGATGACCTGAGACGAATAACCTCAAAGGAAAAGAGGGACGTGGGGAGGTGAGATGGGAAACAGCCCTACAACAGTGCTGCACAGAACTTTCCCAGAACTGAGATGCAGCCACCTCTGGGGCGGGGCGCGGGGGCTGTTTAAATAGGTAAGGGAAACTCGGTGGGTTTGTTCTTACCGAGGTAAGCATCATTCATGTCAGTGGAGGTTCTGGATACGTTGATGAAGCTCGGCTGCCCGCCGCTCCCGTACAGGAATATCCCACCGGACCAGTCATAGGCTCCCACCGCTCCCAGCACAGGCCCGTCCTAAATCGACAGGGACGGCAAAGGGGACCGATTACAGGGAACAGACAGCACAGCATGTATTTACTAGACACGGCCACCACCTGCAGCACAGCGCCCCCTAGCATCGTGCTGGGACACTGGGGTCAGTGCTGATGGCCAGGGGAGTGAGCACCCCCTACTGGGCCCCCCACACCACTCGCTGCAGCATAGAGCCCCCTAGTGTGTGCCCTGAGTGGGAGGGGGGGTGCCCCCTGCACGGCTCCCACAGGACTCTGGGCTCCAGGGACACACCCCGGGGCCAGGCGTCACTCACAGGGGACAGCAGGGAGCTGAATCCTTCCTGGGACATCTCCAGCTGGAAAGAGCTGCCGCTCTGGGACTGGGTGCCTGCGGGGAGAGATAGACAGACAGACACAGGAGAGATCATCATAGACAGTAAATGCGCCGTGTCCCATTCCCTGAGCCAGCCCTTCTCCCCACCTCGAGGCTGGACTGGATCCAGGGCCCCCTAGAGAAAAGGCCCCGTATCCCGTATCAGCCCCTTGAGCCAGCCAGTCCCCTGCCCGGGGGCCCCCGTATGAGAAAGACATCAGTGGCATTTCTGCAGATAGATCAGTAGATATATGTTGGATGGGGAAAGAGAGAATATTTGGGGCCTATTTGGGCTCTGGATTCCCAGCAGCTCCCCGTCCCATCTCGGCCTTGAAAACCCATTTCTAGAGCCCCAGGGCCAATGCGGCCCCTCCCCCGGCTCTGGTACCTTCGATGGCAAAGATCTTCTCCTGCAGCTGGTTCTGGATGCCCTGGAGGGCGTCGAAATTGTCCACCCGGAAGACGTGCTCATCAGTGGGCTCAGAGGCGATCTCCTCAAGCTCCTGGTGGGCAGCAGTGCTGGAGAAGGCATCACCGACCTTCACGGCATAGAGGGAGGTACAGGGGAGACCAGGGCATCAGCTTCAGTCATAGCCGAGAGCCCTGGGCCAACACCCACCCGCCCCGAGCCCTGCTGGGCCCCAGAGAGGCACGGCTCAGCCAGCGCCATGTGCTGCTCTGGTGAGTGGGGGTGGCGGGCCGCTGGAGCCTGGAGTTATGGATCCTGCCTCATTTCAGCACCGAGTTGTGTCGGTCGTACAGCAGCAGGGCACAGGGGTCTCCTTGCCATGGGGATTGTCAGCGCTCTGGGGCCCAGCACTACTCAACCTCCAGGGCGTAGTGAGGGGTGACTGCAGGCAATGTCTCCGGAGGCGCCTCGGGGCAAGGGGTGAAGGGCCAGGACCACTGCGCTAGTCTGGGTGGGTTGTGTGCAGTCGGTTCAGAGGTGGGGTCAGGCACCTCCCGGTCGCTGGGCCCGACGTAAGCAGCAGACAAAGGTCAGACAAGATCCAGTGGCTGGAAGCAGAGTTTACACCCATTCAGACTGGAAATAAGGTGTCAGGTTTAACCGTGAGGGGAATTAACCCTTGGAGCAGCTCACCACGGGCCATGGTGGATTCTCCATCCCTGGCCATTTTTATCTCAGGACTGGCTGGTTTTCTAAAAGATCTGCTCTGCTTCCAGCAAGGATTATTTGGGGCTGTTCTCTGGCCTGTACTACATGGGAGCTCAGACTAGACGATTGCAGAAGTCCCTTCTGGCCTGGGAATCTATGACTCTAAACCCGAGTTTTGCCTTGGCAAAGGGAAGGTGATGGGCCTGGCCCCGTAGTTCTCATGTGCTCTGCGCCCAGCGCTCTGTAGCATCTGTAAGGGCCAGTGTGTGTTCCTGGTGTGCTGGGCATGGCTCAAAGAGGGCAGAGTTAAGGTTGTGGGGGTGTTTGCCTTAACTGTGCATTTCATGGATTTCAGAGGCCTAAGTGCAGCCACTTTCCATGTTTGGGAAGGGCAGGAAGCAACACTGGGAAACCTTAACTCTGCATTCAGGAAGTTGATGGTATAACCCAGCTTGTATTGTTCACGCTCAGTTCTATTGTTCAGGAGACACAATTACATTTTCCTTTACTGTCTTTCATCAGCCATCTGTTTAATCAATGTTGATTCCCTTGACCATACCTCTTACACAAATTCAAAGCATTCATGTGGGTTTTAGAGCACTTTTAAATATAGCTCTTCAGCTGGAAATTTTGATCTCAGGGCAAAAAAATCCAAAAATCCACTGCAGAATGCAAGGAACGTTAGCTAATAGTAGGGATCAAACCCACAGGGCCAATTCCGGGTCAATGGCAACCTGCTGTCACCTTGAGCCACATGAATACCCTCTTGCTTCAAAAGAGACCTAGATCTTGATGCTCATTTCAATCTCTTTGGCTCAGCAGTTTGGCATGTGCCATTCTAGGCAGCCAGCGTCTAAGATTAATAATCTTTTGAATACTTCTTCCCCAGAGGGGCAGTGGGTGCCGTGCACTAGTGGAGATAAACATCAAGTGACTGAGATCAGTTTGGGGAGGTTCAGAGCCACTTTTTGAGTTTCAGGTGTGTACAAAAAAGAACTGGTGATTTTGCTGGTTAACTGGGGGGCTGTATGTCAGGAACCCTTTGTTCAAGTGACCCCAAATTTGGACCACAAAACCTAACCTTTGTCCCCATGAGAAATTCCAAATTTCATGGCAATCTGAGTCAGCACGTGGACCATAGGGCACTCAGAAAACCCAACCTTTAACTAGAAAGCTCTGCTCAACCTGAACAACAGAGGAGCTCCAGCTCTCCTATAATGTCACACGTTGACCCAGTTACAACCCAAGATGAGTTCTTTTCCATTATCTGATGGGAACCACACACCCCATCCCATGTCCCTGGACATGGGCTCAGATCCATACTAGTTCTCCGCACAGCTGCAGCTCACCCCGATGGCATAGCGGATGATCCCAGCACTCTCAGCCTCAGGTATGACATCTGAATAAGAAAGCGGGTCTCCAGATTTCTCCCCATCTGTGATCACAATGAGAATCTTGGTGGCCTCATCCCGAGCTCCTTTCCAAGAGGTGAACAGCTGCTGCCTGGAAAAGGGGGGTGGGGAATGCATGGGAGAGTTATTGATATGTAATAACATGTAGCGCTCGTCCACTGCTTTGGCATTGCAGATCTCAAAGTCCTTTACAAAGGAGGTTCGTGTCATGCTCCCATTTTACTGATGGGGAAACTGAGGCACGGGGCGGGGATGTGACTTGCTTAAAGTCACAACACAACAGAGGCTCAGACCTGGCACTAGAACCCCAAAGTCCTGGCTCCCAGCATCCCCACCCCACTTTAACCTACTAGTCCCCAGTCCCCTCCCACAGCTAGGGATAGAACCCAGGAGTCCTGAGTCCCTATCCCTTAGCTTGCATGTCCTTGCAGCCCATTCCCTGTGGAGTCAGCACGGGGAGCAGGGCAATACCTACACCACTTTCCGGATGGCTGTGGCTGTGTACGTTGCTCCCGTGAGCTGCATGACCGACCTGAGGAGGCGATCGGGGTCGCGACGCTTCCTGTACTGGAAGAAGTCGAAGTGCTCTCTAAATCTGTGCGAGTACTGCATGAGGGCGAACTGCAGGAGGAGGCAGGGAAGAAGAGAAAAAAACAACCCCGGGGTGGAGGGTCAGAAAAGCAGGAATCAGACAAAGTTAATGGCAGGGGCAGGTGGTCGGGATGTCACTGGTTCTGTGGGAATTTTTTCCTGGTTTTGGATGCAAACTCCATTGCTGCTCCCTGGAGCACAGCGCCCCCTAGCACCGCACTGGGGTATTGGGGTCAGCACTGACTGCGAGAGGCAGGGTACGTAGCCAGGGTTCAGCTTCTGCCCTTTACCTGCGTGTCGGTGCTGCGGAAACGCTTCATGATCTCAGCGAGAAACGTCTTCATCTTTGTAAAGTCATCAGGTACAATGCTGCCCGAGCCGTCCATGAGGAGCACTATGTCTGTGGCACGTCTGGGGCACTCTGAGTGGGACAGGAAAGAAATATGTCCGACTCCTGACTTAACTCCACAAACATGGAGAAAGCCCAGTAGAAAGAGCTAGACCAGACCAGTGGGTCCATCTAACCTGGTATCCTGCCCCCTCCCTGCAACCCCGGATCAGACCAGTGGGCCCCTCTGTCGCAATATCATCCCGTCCCTGCCATGGAGGGGTCCTGAGCGTAGAGCATAACATGCACTGGGATGAAAAAAATACACCCCTCTCCCTCCCAGAGCTGGGACAGAACCCAGGAGTCCTGGATCCTAGCTCCCACTGACATCCTGAATCAAACGAATGGGCCCACCTAGCCTGCTATCCCAACCCATATCAGACCCATGGGCCCATCTAGACCCATCTTGTCTCCTTCCCCCCGCCCCACCCATGACCCCTGAGTGCTGGTTCCTCCCTATGGAGCTGCCCCGTACCTGCCTGGGTGTCCGGGATGCGCTGGACCTGCCGGAGGCTCTGGTCCAGGAGGAAGCAGTAGCCGTTGATGTACATGTTCTCCCCGCAGGCCCGGTGCACCGTGGGGCCGCACACCTGGGCCACGAGAGAGGGACGGGATCAGCAGGTGATGAGAACCCTGGGGGTGAAGCAGAGAGCCCAGGGCCTGCTCCCCCACATGGATATGCAAAGAAAGGCTCTGCCAGGGCAGGGGACCCCCTTGGGGCAGACGGGACCCCAGAACCCAGCACTCGGACTCCCAGAGAAGAGACAGGGGAGAGACATGGGGACATCACTTGGTTCCCATGCTCCTTGCTATGGCAGCATTCAATCACTGTTGCCATGTCAACATCACCCAGCGGGTTGCCACTCTCCCTGGTACGTCTGTGCACCATCATTACCTTCCCTGTGATGTCATTCTGCAGTTACTGTCACCATGGTGATGTCACCACCCTCCCTGCCATTTTGTTGCACTGTCCGGTCTCCCGCATTCCTCCAGAACATCATCACAGTCACGGTAGTCATGGTGATGTCACTTGCTTACCGCTGCCCTCACAACACCATCGCAAGTCATTCAAGTGGCACCTGGCTACCACCACCTTACACAGCGTCCTAGGCCATTCGCCCCTTGCCATGGCAACAACGCCCCGATCATCTCCATTCAGAATGCTGCTGTGACCAGGTCACCCCCCTGTTTGCAGCCCTCCCCTGGCTCCCTCTTCTCTATCACATCAAACACGAGCTGCTGGTCTTCCCTTTCTAGGCCCTTATCGGCCTCTCCCCCGGCCCCCCGACCTAGCATCTCTCAGTCTGTGTCGAGCTGTCGAGACGCGTCTCTGATCGGCTCCTTGTGCCGGCCTCCACCGCCCAGCCGTTACATTTTCCAGCTAGCCCCTTTGTGCTGTCTCTCGTGCCACCCCTCACACTTGGGACGAGCTCCCTGGAAACGGCCACAAAACTACCGCCTTGTCTCCTGCACAACCCTCCTTCAAGCTCTCCTTTGCCGGGAGGCCTACAACGAAACTTAACAACGATCAGGCTGCTGGTGCGCTGAGCCCACTGCCGATCATAGCGACCAATATTGGCTCATTGTTCTCCTCCCATGTCCCTGCTTGTATCTAGCTGTTGCCTCGTCTTAAACTTAATTTGTAAGCCTCCTTGTATCGTGTTGTTGTTCTGTGTTTGTACAGGACCAAGGACCTGGGACTCTTGGGCGCTACCCTAATACACCCAGTAAATAATATTTTGAAAATGCACAGTTCCAGTCAGGGTGACCTCCCGCCCTTACCACCCCACACCATGACATCACCACACAGTTGCTCCAGGGGTGGTGACATCATCCATTCCTGCAATAAGAACCCATCCCCCCCCGCCAGGTGTCCCCCAGTTATCAACCGCCCTGGGACAGCGCTCAGGTGTTCACGTCCCGCGGTCACACCTTCCCGTGTGATGGTAGCTCCCCAGGTGCTCATGTCTGTGATGTCACCTGGTTATCACCCACCCTGTGACATCACCGTGCTGACACTCTATCTCACAAACATTGTTGCGGGGAGGACAAGTCTGTGGAATTCTGGGCAAGTGACTGAACTTAATTCTGGGTGATACCCTGGTATAAAAAAGCCGCTCCAGACCCACCCCCAGCCCCTCTGGATGTGGTACCCACCAGGAGATTGGAGCCATGGGCAGCCAGAGACAATCCGAGGGACATGTTCACTGCATCCGGGGGCCCTGAGAGGAGAGACACACCAGCACCAGGTTGAGAAATCTTGTGGCTGGATATGTTTAGTCCATCATTTCTCTGAGTCATTCCCCACCCACACATGGCTCTTCTGACTCAATCTCCTTCCCAGATATGTGGGGGAGGAGGGGAAGTCATTGCACATACCCCTGCAATTGAATGGAAATCGAACCCGGGAGTCCTGATTCCCAGCCCCCATTGTTCTAACCCACTAAACCGCACTTCCTTCCTGGCGCTCGACACAGAACAAGCTCTGATCCCGAGCCTCCCCCCACAACACCTCTCTAACCCACTAGACCCCACTCCGCTCCCAGAAACTGGAATAGAGCCCAGGAGTCCTGGCTCCAAGTCCCCTCCCCCCCACAGCCTGCCCCACTAGACCCCATAGCAGAGGGTGGCTCTACTCTGGATGGGGATCGCCTGGCAGCTTCTGGAGCCCGGGTTGCACTTGTAGACTTTGCCGGTTTCATTCACTTCTCCTGTCTGCAGCGGGGCCCCGGCGAGCAGCCTGTGTGGGAGAGAGAAGATAGGGGCTCAGGGGCGCCCCATCATCCCTGGGGGGGGCCAAGCTGGGGCAGCCCAGTCAGACATGTGGGGCCCTGAGCCCACGTTCGGCCCTTACCCCCCGGTGCTGACACTCCCGAACTGCACCACGCTCTGCCCAAACCCCGCGGCAGCCTCCTGGAAGGTGATGGGTACCTCCACGTCCACGCTGAATCCACGGCTCGGTACCAGCACTGCAGGGGTTAAAGACCCATCCATTAGCGCTTCCCCTATGCAGAATGGGGCCAGTGGTAGGGCCTTAGGCACCAGCTCTTCCAGGCTGTGGGACTGACTCCCAGCCTCGTCTGCTCCAACCCACCAAAGACCACTCACCTCCCAGACCAGGGGATGGAACCCAGGAGTCCTGACTCCCAGCCCCTCCCCCGCACCCTCTTTGCTCTGTGTTTGTACAGCCCCTAGCAGAGCGGGGTGGTGGTCCATGGCTGAGCCCTACAGGAATACGTAGAAAAGGAGTCTGGGGATCTGCGCGTCTGTATGCAGCATGATGCGCTTTGAACGTCACATCTGATCACATCCAAAATTTCAGGGGATGTTTCAGGTCTCAAGGGGGCAAAGCCCTGTGGGTTTGGGGAAAATCAGAAAACTGGAAGGAAGGAAATGGGACACACACACACCCCCTGGCATCTGGTTAGCAGAGCCTGCAGCTTCAGCCAGCTCGGTCTAGAACACCTGCCACCATCCCTCATCCCGGCATCGCATGGAGGGTAACCTGTGACGCCCTGAACCACTGATCAACAGAGAATGGTGAGAGAGGAGGAGGCATGTGGGGGAGAGAAGGGGACAATGGGGGTTCACACTTGATCCTGGCATGGGGGTGGAGATGGGGAAATGGAGCACCCAGAACCCTTGGCAGGTGGGGGAGATTGGGGTCCTCTTGTGTAAGCAGAGTCAGGATGAGCTCCACTCTGACATCTGGTGGTGAGGTGTGGCAAGTTGTGGAAAAGAACTTCAGGGGCTGATCTCATTTGCATAGGCACACCCACCCCGCCTAGAATGAGGCCATAGCTGCCCAAATGGTCACTTTGGCTGCTGTGGGATCCCCAGTGTCTCTGTTATTGGGGCAGGAAGAATAAATTGTTATTACCCTGATTATGGGAACTGTGCTGGGAACTGTACTTGGCCTTTTGTTATGATGGAGGGACTCACCATCAACTAAGTAGCACTCGCTAGGCAAGGGACATGGTTCCAAAACTCTGAATTGAGAGAGGCTTGAGATAGGTATGGGGGGGGTGTAGGTCTAAAATACCAGTTGCACTGTTTGCTCTTTCTACTGTGGAATGTCAGAGCTAATTTTGGGTCTATTAAGAGTCTTGCTAGCGTACTGTGCTGAATTCACTTTGGCCTTATGGTGCACCAGCCCTAAGGCTCCCACTATTATGAGCTGAAATCTCTGAGCACTGTGTCAAGTAGTGGGGAGCCAGAAGATTTAGAGTGCAGTGGTGCTGTTTGTGGATAGGCTGCTGGAGCCCTGTGGAGCAGTCAGCTTCAGGTCACGTAAGGTGCCCCTCTCCTCTTTCCCCCCACACACAGGCACATTTTTAGCTAGACTGGGGAGCAACACTCTGCAGATGAACTTTCAAACTCTGGGGCTGGACTTTTTGGACTTTGGGTGATTTTTGGATTGCTGGACTTAAGAGATGTTTGGGTTGTGGGACTCAAGAACCCGAGGGAAAGGATGTGGCACAGTTTGCTGGGGTGGGTCTTTGCTCATGGTTTGGTTAATGAACACTAGTTGTGGTGTTTCCCCAATTTAATGCTGATGTCATTTACCTCATGTTATTAAAGATTCTCTGCTACACTCAGACTCTGTGCTTGCGAGAGGGGAAGTATTGCCTCTTTGAGGCACCCAGGGGGTGTGTAAGATTTTCCTAGGTCACTGGGTGGGGGCTCGAGCCAGTTTTGCATTTGCTTTGACGAGAGGGAACCCCTGTGTACTGAACCCGGCCCTTGCTGCTATCAACTTGGCCTGGCAGAAGGGTTACACTTGTATGGAGGAAGGGGAGTGGGAAAGAGATCGTGGGGGATTGGTGAGCACAGGGGAGAAAGGAAGTAATGGGGGGCACACAGAGCCCCTGGCAGGGGATGGGGGTGGGGCTTCAGGGGGGTCCCCTGAAGTGAGGGGGCTGGGAGAATGTGAGGAGCCCCCAGAATATTCAATGAGCTTGGCCGAAGTGTGAGGCCTTCTTGTAAGTAACCATGACAACCCACGAAACCCTCCTCCCCTCCCAGGGCTATGGGGAGAACCCAGGAGTTCGGCACCCACCCCACCCCCTCTCCCACTCTCCTTCACTAGCCCCCACTGCTTTCCCATTGCTGGAGGTAGAACCCAGGAGTCCGGGGTGGGGGGGGGGGGGGTTGGTAAGACTTTCCAGAGGAAGGAAGTATATGGTGAGTGTGTGCTTGCAGGGAGTATCCCAAGCTGTTCTGTCTCCAGGCGGGGCCCTCAGCAGGCATATTCCCTCCCCCCCCCACACACACAAGTGCTAAAAAAGCAAATAGGGGGCCCCCTTGAGCTGCTCGGGGCTCTAAGCAATTGTTTGGTCTTCTTCTGCCTAGTGCTGGCTCTGCTAGTAGCAGACTGGCGCCCCCACGCCTACAAGGCTCTGCAAAGCAATTGGGAAACAACCCGTCCTCTGGTGCAACCCACTTGGGAGTGGCACCAGTCAGGCGCTGCAGAGGCTGGGGAAGGGGAACCAGGGGAGGTGGTGCTGGGCTCTTGGGTTCTACCCCAGCTCTGGGAGGGGAGAGAGGTCTGCTGGTTAGAGTGGGGGTGGCGCTGGGAATCAGGACTCCTGGGTTCTATCCCCAGGCAACTGCAGGGGGTAAATTACAATTACTTTCCTCCACCCTAGACAGCACAGCTGTGATGCCACCGGTGCTCTGAGGAAGTGAGTGGCCCAAGAGAGTTGCATGGGGTGTGTTGGGTTGGGATGGGGTGGTGTGGGGAAGTGACTTGGACAAATGCGTCTCTGACCAAAAGTCTGGAGGGGTGGGGGATGGGAGAGCCAGGACCATCGTCTGTATTAGAGAACTCCAATTGGGAAACTTGGAGAGAGACAGTCCTTTCTAAAGGGAGTGTGAGGGTCTAGTGGGTTGGAGCCAGTGGGGTTGGGAGTCAGGACTGCTGGGGTTCTCGCCCCAGCCCTGGGAGGGGAGAGGGCTGTGGTGGGTTGGAGCAGGTGGGGCTGGGAGACAGGAGTTCAGTGTGAGAGAGAAGCAGAAGGACAGGTCTGATAAAACATGTCAGTGCCAATCCACCCCCCAACTAACCCCGTTACCCTTTTCCCCACCCAAATCCCCCAACCAGACCCCCTACAGATCCCTGGTGGGTCCCCCTGCATATCCCCTTCAGCCACTCCTGGAAATTGCTGAGTGAGATCAGCAACTCTGCACAGCCCGCACCAAAGCAGACGGGGTCTGTCTGGAAGTGCTCTGACCCCACTGCTGGGGGTCCTAGGCAAAGCTACCCACCCAAACCCGCTGCCAGAGGGGCTGAGGCTCAGTGGGGGAGGAACACCGGCTCTGCACTGCACCCTCTGCACAGTCCTAAGGAAAGAACCCAGGAGTCCTGATTCCCAGCCCCTCCCTGCTCTTACCCACCAGACCCCACTCCTCTCCCAGAGCCAGGGTCAGAACCCAGGGGTCCTGACAGTCCAGCTGCTTCCATCCCCCTGCCAGAGATGTACACACTGGGCATCTTGCATGGGGGACTTCAGCTTTTCCCCATCCTGCTGGCTGGCACTCACCTGTGCACAGGTAGATGAGCAGAGGCAGGGGGCCCATCCTGGGCTGGGTGAAGGAGGGGAGCATAGGGTGCGGGGAGCCGTGTGCCAGGAGGTATGAGATTTGAGGGTGCAGCCTGCAGAATAAGCAGCAGAGTGTCAGAGTAAAGAGAAGTGCAATCAGTGTCGTGTGAAGGGAGGGTGAGACCAGCCCTGGGGAGGGGACTGGACTGGACTCAGGGGAGATGCAGGGAGAAGTGAACAAAAGAAGGGAAGAAAACTAAAGTGAATGAGACAGATGGACAGAGAGACAAACCAGCAGCTGCACTGACCTAGATGGATATACGGTAGAACCTCAGCGTTAGGAACACCAGAGATACAAACTGACAAGACATCCATATCTCTCCTTTGGCACCGGAAGTATGCAATCAGGCAGCAGAGAACAAAAAACAACAACACGACACTCCAGTGTTAAAGGTAAACTACTCAAAAATAAAGGGAAAGTTTAAAAGAAAATTTGACAGGCTCAGGAACCTGTTTCTGTGCTTGTTTCATTTAATTTAAGAGGGTAAAAAGCAGCATTTTTCTTCTGCATAGTAAAGGTTCAAAACTGTATGAAGACAGTGTTCAGTTAAAAGAAAGGGAGGACTTGTGGCACCTTAGAGACTAACAAATTTATTTGAGCAGAAGTTTTCGTGAGCTACAGCTCACTTCATCGGATGCATGCAGTGGAAAATACAGTGGGGAGATTTATATACACAGAGAACATGAAACAATGGGTGTTACCATACACACTGTAAGGAGAGTGATCACTTAAGATGAGCTATTACCAGCAGGGGCTGGGGAGGGGGAACCTTTTGTAGTGATAATCAAGGTGGGCCATTTCCAGCAGTTGACAAGAACATGTGAGGAACAGTGGGGAGTGGAGGGGGGGAATAAACATGGGGAAATAGTTTTACTTTGTGTAATGACCCATCCACTCCCAGTCTCTATTCAAGCCTAAGTTAATTGTATCCAGTTTGCAAATTAATTCCAATTCAGCAGCCTCTCATTGGAGTCTGTTTTTGAAGATGTTGTTGAAGAATTGCCACTTTTAGGTCTGAGATCGAGTGACCAAAGAGATTGAAGTGTTCTCCGACTGGTTTTTGAATGTTATAATTCTTGACGTCTGATTTGTGTCCATTTATTCTTTTACGTAGAGACTGTCCGGTTTGACCAATGGACATGGCAGAGGGGCATTGCTGGAACATGATGGCATATATCACATTGGTGGATGTGCAGGAGAACGAGCCTCTGATAGTGTGGCTGATGTGATTAGGCCGTATAATGGGGTCCCCTGAATAGTGTTCAGTTGTAGACATCTGAAAGAACCACCATCACATTTTGTTCAGAGTTACAACCAACCCGCGTTCCCGAGGTGTTCAGAACTCTGTGGTTCTACCATACAAAGCAGCATTGAGGCAGATACACTGCTACGCTGAGACAGGCAGAGAAGCACAAAACTACACAAAGCATAGGTGCCGACTCCGTGGGTGCTCCGGGGCTGCAGCACCCATGGGGAAAAATTAGTGGGTGCTCTGCACCCACTGGCAGCCTCACCTCCTCCTCCCCCCACCCCCAGCACACCCCGTCCCCGCTCCTCCGTCTACCTCCCAGGGCTTCTCCCCGGCGGCCGCCAAACAGCTGTTTGGCAGCATGCTTGGAGGGAGGGGGAGGATTGGGAACGTGGCGCCCTCAGGGGAGGAGGTGGGGCCAGGGTGGGGATCTGGGGAAGGGGTTGGAATAGAGGCAGGGAGAAGGTGGAGTTGGGGTGGGGACTTTGGGGAAGGGGTTGGAATGGGAGTAGAGTAGGGATGGGAAGAGGCAGGACGGGGGGGGCACATGGAAGGGGTGGAGTGGGGGCGGGGCCAGAGGTGGGGGGTCAAGCACCCGGGGGAAGGCGGGGGAAAGCGAACTACACTGACACACACATATGCCTACGTTCAGGCAGAAAGACAAGCACAGCAACACGGAGACAGTCACACACAGATATACTTGGACAGAAACACATACAGCTACACTGAGCCAGCCACACACACACACACACACACACAACTCCATTCAGACAAAAAGCCACACAAAGCCACACTGAGACAGACACAGGCCCCCAGATACACTGAGACATACAGACAACTACACAAACTACACTCAGACAGAGAAACACAAAGCTACGCTGAGACACACACACATCCCGACACTGAAACAGAGACATGAAAACCTACACAGGCAGAGAAAGACAGACCCACAGCTACACTGAGGCCTGGTCTGCAGTACAGAGTTAGATTGATGTAAGGCAGCTGACATCGATGTAATTATGTCAGTATCCACACGGCGGCCTTGTCCTGCCGATGTAAATGCCATACTACGCTGACATCATAACTCCACCTCCGCGAGAGGCGAAGGGTTTATGTCGGGGTAGTTAGGGCGACACAGTGTCCATGTAGACACTGCGAGTTACTTACATGGGCCGGTGGCCATTCTTTCTGTGCTGGAGCTGTGACATGGATAAGAAAGCGGCTCAAAGTTTGGGCTGTCACCCGGGGCGGGTGGAGGGCTCTCGCTAGAACTCGCCTGCACCCCGGGCTCCCTGATCCCATCTGGGCTGCTGCCTGGGCTCCCCACTCCGAGCTGGGCTGCGCCCACCTGGCTACCCGCCAGAAGCCTGGGCGCTGCCCCGGCTCCTGGATCTCTACTGGGAGCCTGGCTGTGTCAAGGATCCCCAGTCCCCTCTGGGAGCCCAACAGCCGCCCAGAACTCCCAGTGGGGAGCCGAGAGCCTGGGTGGCTGCCGTGCTCCTGGTGGGCAGTAGGGAACTGAGAGCCCGCGGGGCAGGAGCAAGGACCTGAGAGCCCAGAGGGGTGGGCAGCTGGGCTCCTGGCCAGGAGAAACACACGTCACCCTAACTACACCAATAATAAGCCCTATGCCTCTCGTGGAGGTGGAGTTATGATGTCAACGTAGTAGGTGGGAGGGGGAGCTTGGGGCTGGGAGCTGGGCAGGGGCAGCCGGGCTCCCGGTGGGGAGCTGTGCACGGAGCCGAAGCCCCGCCACACTGCTCTTCCTACGTCAGTGGAAGTGCTCCTGGTGAGGCCGTGCACCACCGACAGAAGGACGGCAGCGTGGACATGAACCACCGCAGTAAATTACCACGGTGGCTGTAAACGGCCCTAACATAGGGCGACTTACATTTGCAGTGTAGCCATGCCCTGAGTGCAGAAGAAAGTTATTCATGACCAGGAATACATTTACGCTCAGCTACAGTTAGAAGGTTACCCCTTTGATACTGATGTAGGCAAAGCTTTTCCACCCAGCTGCCCCTCACCCTGATCCAGCCGGGCCCCTGGCCCCCCACATGCTGGGCGAGTTGAGTGCAGGGTCTCACTTCATTTGGCCAAAATACTGCTCCTAAACCAAGGTCAGAGCATCCACACAGGGGGGCTGGGCTGGTTTGGTTGAAATAGTTCCTGTTAAACTGTGGTAACTTGTGTGTGTTGCCAAGGCCAGCCTTACACACAGCCTTACACACAGCCACAGTGAGAAAAATCCCACACAAATCCATTGTGAGACAACTACACCCTCAACCTTACACACAGCCTCAGTGAGAAAATCCCACACAACCCACACACAGCCACTCTGAGACAATCATACATGTTGGACCCTGAAATAGAGGGGTTTTTATGGGATGGGGGAGCAGGCAGATACCGGACACAGTGTTGGTATATAATACTCTAAATGCTTTTTATGGATTACAAAACAAACCTTTCTCACTCCACATTCACACCCCAAACATACTATGCCAGAGTCTAAAGGTCAGAATGGTCCCAATGGCCAGTCAAGATTCCTTTTGATTATAAGCTCATAAGATGGGGGAGCCAGCGAAAACCACATCTATATCACATGGGGCGCTGGATCAATAAACAGCTCCAATTTGAAGAAATCATAGGCACCCATTTATAGTCCATGACATTGCATCATCGGTTCTTTGCCTTTGTTTACTAGGCCTTCGCCCCACACAACTCCAAAGAGATAATCCTGGGCAGGCCGCCATGATCCAAGATGGGCCATTTCCTCCAATTCGTGTACAATTTTATATCAGTCCAGCCAGTGTTGTTTCCTTTTCTGATGATTTTCCATATTTTTCTAGGAACATAGGATTTGGGGTTTTTTGTACAAATAGTTCTAACAGTCCTTGACCTTAAGTTCTTGCTTCGGTTGCTAAATTGCAACGTACGTACTCATGTCAAGCACGCATCATTCATACCAGGCCTCAATGACCTATAACATATAGTCACAATGTGTGTGTGTGTATATACACACACACACCAACATTCCCCCCTCTTGATATATGATTAATGCCATTAATTATTGTATCACTTTATAATTTCGCAAGCAATTCAATTTTATATATCACTTGCTCTGAAACTTCTTGTCGCTTTCTTATTCGACAGTATAAACACAGTATAATAAAGGTTAACAAAATCATTAATACACATAATATGACAATAGGATGTAGCATTAAATTTAGAAATGCTGTGACACTGGGGGACAATTTTTTAAAAACATTATACCATTGAGAAATTTCCAGTTTTTAAAAAATATTTGAATATTTGACCATTGTGGATCAAAACGTTTATTTTTCTTAGCTGAGCAGACTTAGATACATTTTTTGCATATTGTCTGATTTGTTTGCTCTTATTAATTAATTTTATATTGTTTTTAATGTAGTCCCAAATTAAAGGACCAGTTTAAATTTTTTTAATTTTGTTTTCTGTTTTTTCCGCCCCCCCAGTCAGGAGGGCATATGGTAATATTATTGCTTGTTTGTTATTTTTATAAGTAACATCTTTGATGGTTAACATCAAGGTCCATTGGGCCATCCTGGCATTCGATATTCCTTTCCCCTGCAGTTTCCCTGATAAAATATACTGCAGGGGAGAGTGAGGTGTTCATAGGTTAATAGGGACTGTGCTCGTAGTCAGAGCAAAAGTTTCAATGGCCCATACAGCAGCTTAACGTTTTTTTTCCAGATCCCAATCTGCTGCTTCATAGTGGTTAATCTTCTAGACGCGTTTGCTACTGGTATTAACTTCCTGTCAATTTCCTGCGTGAGTACTGACATTAGCATTTGGTGGGTTGCTGCCAACTTAATCACAAATGGCTTGTTTATCTCTAGAAATTTCAATGCTGGAGCTTGCATCAAGGCTTGCTTTAAATGAAGAAATCATTTTCTTCTTCAGGCCCCCACTCCCATTCTCCTTTCTTTTTTAGTAAACGCCACAAGGGACCAGTTATCGCGGCAAAATTCCAGTTGTGTTTCCTTAAATAGTTAAACCCCCCCACCATCACCCTCAATGCATGAGAATCCTCTGTCCTTGGTTGATTCATTAATCATAGAATATCAGGGTTGGAAGGGACCTCAGGAGGTCATCTAGTCCAACCCGCTGCTCAAAGCAGGACCAATCTCCAATTTTTGCCCCAGATCCCTAAATGGCCCCCTCAAGGATTGAACTCACAACCCTGGGTTTAGCAGGCCAATGCTCAAACCACTGAGCTATCCCTCCGTTTTTGCCTTTTGTTGGTCCACCTGAAGTCCTTGTTCCCCTGGGGTCACCCCCTAATAATTCAGTCTCCTCTGCACTTGTTGGGCTTTCTCTTCATTAGCCTTGAAACCCGTTTCCTGGATGAGTCCTTTTTAGTCCACTCAGTCACCTCCTCTCCAGTGTCCCCCCACACTAATAGGTCGTCTACATCTGAGGTGACGTTCTCCTGATCCTCTTTGGATCATTGATCCAGCAGTCGCACCACATGTTGGTGCGCAATAGCCGGATCGCCGTGTAGGCCCTGGGGAAATTCTTTTAAACAAGTACTGTTGTCCCTTAAACGTAAACGCAAAGCAGGCCCAAGAATCGGGATGCAATGGCATGGTGAAAAAACAAGTTGCCAAATCTATGACAGAGAACTATTTAGGGCGCCCCTGTATTCTTGCCATCACTTGCTACCATTGGGGCCATAGCGGGGGCAGCTTTATTAATTTGTCTAAAACCCACTGTCAATCTCCAATCTCCTGAGGCTTTTAATATGGGCCAAATTGGGCGATTGTATGCGGAATTCCCCTTTTTAAACACTCCCTGTTGTTCTAATGATTCAATTATTTCCTCAATTCCTGCCTTTGCTTGCACAGGATATTTATATTGTCTCTGTGGTGGCACTTTGTCCCCCACGATTTTAACACTTGATTAAATTTTACCACATTTTGCTTTTTTTTAAATCCATACACTAGGGAATTCCTTCACCCAAATCCTGTTGATCCAGTATAATCTCCTCCACTGCTCCTGCGGTACATGTTCCTGGAATGTCCCCTGCTGTCCGGACACTTTCCGTCCAGCCGGGCACACGTTAAATCCAAAACGAACCGATTCCTCCGCAGAAAAGGAGTCCCCAGTATTACTGGCTCAGCCGCCTGATCGATCTGAAGCATTTGTTCTTTACAACAAACATCCCCCGCCCTCTCTGGATATAGCTATTTCTACTGAATGATACATTTTTTCTGTCACTCCTTCCCCAATAAAGGAGGCTGCTGTAATAATCTCTGACACGTATCGAGTCAAATCACAACTTCTATTTACACTATTTACACCAGCCCCACTATCCAATGGGGCATCTTTAGGTCCATTATCTCCCACAGTGACAGTTGTCCTTGGCATCCCATTTGAATCCCCTCTTAATCTAGTTACCATTTCCCACTCCTGGGGACCCATTTCCAGTGGGAGCAACTTGTCATCAGGGCTTCCCTATAGAGCAGGTTTCTCTGAAACCCTCAGCTTGCAGAGCTGCAACCTCCTGCTGCTCCTTAAACATTTCTTCTTCCATCCTCTGCATTTCTTTGATCAATTCATCAGTATGTCTCCCATCCCACTTAACCATATCTATTCCCCTCAATTTCAAATACCTCCAAGCGATATTCCGAGTCACATCTGCTCCCTTCTGAAGCTCATTTTGATAATTCCATCCTCTACCTCCTTGGGGTGGGGTGTTTTGTCCTGTACCGCGGCCTCTTCCTCTCTCACGGTATCCTGATCTATAAGCACTCTTATCTGAATATGTTTCAATCCTTCTATCCGGCTTCTCCCTCTCATCATTCGTTGGCAAACTATCCAGTGCTCCAGTGCATTCATAACAGTTAACCCCTCCTCTTGGGCTGCTTGGTTCACCAAATTAGTAGACATCGCTAATAAATTTCTCTCCAGTCCTTCAAACACATCATTCCAAAATTCCCTCTGATTCAAATCAACTGCCATCAAAGAATCAGCTGTGAGATGTCTGGTGACCTCTGCCCTGGGATTAGTCACTGGCTGTATTTCTCCAGCCAATAATCCCAATGTTATTCTCTTTAACAGGTAACCCCTGGGTGAATCTCCAGGCTTCATGTAATCTGCACTGGATAATGCCTTCATGGGTCTTTGACCTCTCTCTTTTCCTAACAGCATAATAAATAGTGGTATCAGTTGGTGGGCTTCTGGCTGCCTGTCCGAAGCATTTTTTACTTGATCTACTGCCTGTCTAATCTGTCCAGTGGTAGTTACCCTGATTAACCTATAAGATTCACTCATATTTAAATCCTCTGTTACGCCTAACTCTGCCCACTGTACTAGCCATGTTGCTAAATTTTTTATACCCACTGGGCCTAATGATTTTACCATCAACTGTAAATCTGGCGAACTTGCAAGAATTATTTGTGTCGCCTTTGACTGCATCTCCCCCTCTGCATCCTTAATGGTTGATCTCGGTTCCATCGCTGCTACAGACTTTTCTGGCTTAGGCTCTTCCAGCAACTTTCTTATTTCTTCCGTCAACTTAGTATAAAGCCCCTCTCGAGGTTGATTAAATTCCCTTTTCTCTTGACCCTCTCGCAGATCCTCTTCTTACCAAATATCATTGGAATCAGGAATCTCTCTCTTTTTGACACACAGCTGCAACCTGCAGTTCCTGTATTTTCACTTGCTTTTTCAATGCTGTTATAGTTTTCTGGCACAGACTGTGGGAAACACTTGCAATCTCCTCTTCCTTTTCCTAGGTCAAATCTCAAATTAACTGTTTCATTCCTATCACTTGATGGTCTAATTTATCTTCGTCTGCTTTAATCTTTTCCCAATCCAGCATTCTTTTCTCCAATTCCTATTTTGTTTCCCCATTTGTTCTCACTGAGTTTGCATTATCCGTGCCTGCCTCACTTCCTGCTCCAAATTTTCCTGGCAAGTTTTAAAATTCTCTTGTACTGTTTGTAACTCTGCACAGATTTCCCCCTGACATGCAATTGCCTATTTTACAGCTTGCCACAACAGCCATACTACGGCTGTTTGCTTTTTACTGGTATTAGGCTTGTACAGCTGTACATATTTCTCAGACATGTTTTCTAAGGTATCAAATATTACATAAGGTTCCACTGCACCTTCCATACAAGGGCACATCCCAAATGCACTAATCTCCTTCTCTAATGGAGAAGGGGCTTTAACTTTAGTCCACTGGGGTGCTTCTTCCACCTATTTACATCTCTTCTTAAACAGTGTTTTAACAGTCTCCCCATTCATTGTTTTTTTTTCCTCACAAATTTCACAAATAAGGAGTCACCCTTATTAGCCTTAAATAAGGACTCCCCCAACACTGTAAGACCCTGTCTCAAAATCCATCACTCATTAATATCTCACCCCGCTCCGCATTCTCCACCACATGTTGGACCCCGCAATAGAGGTCTCCCTACAGGATGGGGAGCAGGCAGATACTGGACACCATGTTGGTATATAATACTCTAAATGCACTTTATTCATTACAAAACAAACCTTACTCAATCCACATTCACACCCCAAACATACTGTACCAGTGTCTAAACGTCAGAATGGTCCCGATGGCCAGTCGAGTTTCTTTCCATTCATAATATCAGAAGACGCAGGGAGCCAGCGAAAACTGCATCTATATCCACACGGGGCTCTGGATCAATAAACGACTCTGATTTGACGAAATCATAGGCACTCATTTACAGCCCATTCTGTTGTGTCATTGGTTCTTTGCCTTTGTTTACGAGGTCTTCTCCCCACACAATTCTAAAGAGACAATCCTGGGCGGGCCACCATGATCCAAGGCATGTCATTTCCTCCAATTTTTATACAATTTTATATCAGTCCAGCTGGTGTTGTTTCCTTTTCTGTGGATTCTCCATATTTTTCTTGGAACATAACAAAATTGATTTTGCACAAAGAGTTCTAACAGTCCTTGACTGTGTGTCCTTGCTTCTGTTGCCAACTTGCAACACACGTATTCATATCAGGCACACGTCATTCATGCCAGGCTTCACTGACCTATAACATATTACATGGAGATATGAATCACAATGGATATATATATATATATACACACATATATATCCCTGCACACAGACAACTTTACACACTACTAAGCTAATACAACCTCACACAGATCCACAGTGGAAACACCACATTTCCCCAATGAGTCAATCATGCACAAAGCTGTACAACACAGACAGAACTGCACTGGAGAACCACATACACAAACACACACAACTATACACAACTGAACTGAGCTCCTCCCCCACCCACAACTGTCCAGAAACCAACACACACACACCCCTCTTGGGCCTGCCTCTTTCTTTTTACCCTTTAGTAACCACTGTATAGATAATCAATCATAATCACCAAACATGCATAGTCTACTGCGGACTGTTCCCACCAGCCAGAGTGACCATGGTTGATGGTCTTGCCCCAGGCATTGTAGAGTGAAGTTCCCACATCTGGCTCAATCCTGAGAATTCACCGGGTGGGGTCAAGGTATGCATCCCTCTGCAAGTCGATGGAGAGTTGAGAACACAATATGCCGGGGTTTCCACCCATCATGGCAACATTGCTGAAGAGCATGCAATGCTCCTTGGAACGCAGGAAGGAAGGCCAGATCTTTGGGAGATTGCAACATTTCACCCAAAGTCAAACCACTTTATGGCCAGGATTTGACCCTGACAGCCGGTGTGGAATTTATCTAGCTGCTACAAGTCTGCCCATAAGAGGGTTCAGGTTTCTGACCTGTAGATTAATGCAAGTAGGACACGGGTTTGATGGACCCTGAACTGGGTCTCAGTGCAGAGAAGTTTTTGCATCGATAGGCAAGACATGGCCTTCATGGCCTCCTAATTATCAGGGGGCGTCTGGTTTGCTGTGAGTGCTTGATCTCTGCGGCGGCCTAGGTAGATAAACTCATCCACTCTCTCCACAGTGCTTGACCTGACCTGCTCTGGGGGGTTCTGGTGGCCCAGCTCTGAGGTTTTGGACTTTGGTCTTCTACCACAAGACATTCAACTGGGAGTGTCTTGGAACCCTTGAAGGGCAGGGCTGAAATTCTCTGGCTTCTTCACGAGAAAGACAACATGATCAGCATGGTCTTGGTTAGTGGCCACATCTTGGCCAACCTGGATTCCAGCATGTGGAGCTAGAAGTCCTAATCTCCAGGTGAAAGCTCGATGGAGTAGTGCCCTGAATAGGCACTCAGATTGTCATATCACCACCGCCACCAAAAAATCACCGAATTGAGCGAACTGTATCTCAGTGCCAGGTGACGGATCCCTGTATAGATAGCCGTGGCACCCTGGGCAAGGGAACAGGGGGACTCCCATCACAATGGGGCCCTGATTTTGATTCTGGTAAGAAAACGTGTTGTTTTTTTTAATAAAAGTTGTCAATGTCTTCTGGTTCTCGATGCTTATTTTTATCCAGAGTGTTTCCAAAATCATTTTGATTGTTTATTTCCCTCCAGCCAGTTTTCTGCTGAGGTTTTCGAGCAGCGGAGAACTGTCAGAATTGGATTAAAAATAAATGAAGAAAAAAAGAAAAAGAAAACACAGGCCTGTTTCAAACACCCCTTCCTTAAAAGCTACATAGTGAGAAGGTCTCGATACTGCCACAAGTAGATTTCCTGCATTAAGTCTCTCTCAGCTCCTCATAACGTTGATTGAAATGGTTGGAGAGACAGCTCTGCATTATGACATCACACAAAGCTGCAGGAGAAAGATCTTTGGGTTATGACAATTCATGAAGCTGTGGGAGAAAGACCTCTGGGTTATAATGTCCTGTGAAGTTGTGGGGAAAAGATCTCTCTCTTTCCTGCTAAGATGAGATCTTGCCAATCCCTTTACTTTCCCTCTCTGTGTTTATAAAGATCCCTGAAATTAAAATAGACACGCCCTCCCCTTCAAAAAAAAAAGGATAAAAATATTACTTAAAAAGGGGCGTTTTAACAGCAGTCACTTCTCTAAAGCAATCTGGGTTTCCTTTGGTTTTAGAAAAGGTTTCGCCACATGAATCAAAGAAGCAAATAACTGACTTAAGGACAGGGTGAGGGGTGGGTGGAAGACCTGGCTAAGGAGACAGCAGGAATTCTAGCGAGTTACTTTGAAGATTCAGTGGCCACCACTGTCAAAAGCAGCGAGTGAGTAGGGGTGTCTGAGTTTTTATGGGAGTCAAATTGGGGGAGACCCCCTTACAAGGAAAGTGATTCCCCAGAAAGCGCAGAGTGCTCATCCTCTGAAAGTCAGTCTCAGACTGAGCACCCCAAACAGAGCCTCTACCCCACCCTAGAAGTGGCTGCATCTCAGGGCTGGATGAGGGATCCCTGTGTAAACAGCCCCCACGTCCCACTGCAGAGGTGGTTGCACCTCAGCACTGAGTGAAGAGCCATTGTACAAATAGCTGTCACACCCCACCCCAGAGGTGGCTGCAGCTCAGTGCTGGGTGATGCATCCCTATGTGAACAGCCCCCTTACCTGACCCCAGCCATGGCTGCGTCTAGGGTGAGCAGACTGCAAGGGTGAAAAATCAGGACAGGCTGTGGGGGGGGAGGGGGGATAATAGGAGCCTATATAAGAAAATGACCCAAAACTTGGGACTGTCCCTATAAAATCGGGATATCTGGTCACCCTAGCTGCATCTCAGTGCCAGACAAAGGATCCAGGTATAAACAGTCCCCTCGCCCCACTCCAGGGGCAGCTGCATTTCAGCACTGGTGGAGATTTTAAGGCAAAATGTCCAATATTAACATGGTCAGAGAGCGAGACATATGGAAATAGGATGGGAAATACAGACAGACGAGAAATCAGTGAATCAGCGTGACTTATATCTTCCTCTACTGTAATCTGGGACCCAGCTGGGGACCCACACACACCACTTCTCTGATCCAGCACAGAGAAGGGGAAGAGGTGAAGCTACAGATGGAGTCAGGAGACCCTGTTCCTCTTTGAAAATATGCAGTGAGACCATCTTTCATCTCTTCATGCCTGTAAACCTGCACAAGAGCAGAGCAATTTCCAGGCTGTGCCTTTGGACATGGACCTCTTGTCCATTGCTGACACGCAACCGCATCTGGGGTGGAGCACAGGGGGCTGTTCATACAGGGTTCCCTCGGCCAGAGCTCAAATAGGGCTGCCTCTGGAGTGGTGCATGGGGCTTGATTACACAGGGCTCCCGCACCAAGTGCTGAGATGCAGCCACCATTAGGATGGGGGGTGGGAGCTGTTTATACTGGTTTCCCTCACCCAAACCTGAGATGCAGCTGCTTCTGGGGTGGGGCGTGGCAGTTGTTACTGTACCTTGAAATTGGATGTGCAGGGTGGAGTTAGTCTTGTGATCAAGGGGGGCCTGAGATTTTTTGGGGCCTGTCCCAAAAAAACTGCTTGGCAGAGTCTACACCCCTTTTTTGAACCGTCCTAAGGGTCAAACCTTTGCCCTGACCATGCGCCAAACAGTCTCAGCTGCTCAGCATTTAGCCTGGCACCCACCTCCCCTTTGGGGGGGACCCACACTGCAAATGGCCTTTGAAAAAGTTCGGCCTCTCTAGCGAGGCACATACTTAAGACCTGTGGGTCACACCAGTTACACAGAGCATTTGCAGGCTGAAAGCCCAAGGGATCTCCCAGCCAGCTATGACTCGTCATGGCTGAGGTTTCTCTCACCAGCCTTGTACACAACGGCACACTCCAAACATTTCACATCGTGGCCAGATCCCCATCCCATGATAAAGTGTAAGCGGGGGAATAGTCCCGCTATTGTGGGGAACTTTCCTGGCTTCTACACTACCCCAGTGAAGTGGGCTAGCGAAAGGATCTGAGTCCTCGCTCCCACTTCCTTTACCCAGAGGCCTTCCTGGCCTTGAGGGCTCCCCTTCCACTCTCCTGTCTGGCAGAGTCCTCGTAACCCCAACAAGGCTGGGCCCAGGATTCCTGGCGGCTCGACCCCCCAGTCTTGTCGTGGTCACTTAGGGCAGGGGCTAGGGTGTCCTCACTCTGGGGTGCTCTCTGCACTGGACATTTCCCTGGCCCACTGATCATTACATACAGTTCAAAGCAAATGCGATGTATTAAACAGCAACTAATTAAAAAATAAAAGGAAAAAATGGGAAAGGTTAAAGGAAAACCCGTTACCCCGCTCCGGGGCACGGGGACATCACAACCAGCATCTCTGGAAGGTAGGGGAAGTTCACAGTCTATTCCTCACACCTCCCAGGCCTCCTGCTCAGCCCTGGCTGTGCGGCAGGGATGCCGCGGGTCGGACACTTACTCTGGCGGTGGCCATATGCCTCCAGGCTTTAGGTGGCAGGACCCTTCTTCCCACCGTCGCCCCCGCCCCCCACGTTGGGGTTATGATCCCCCTCCAAGTCTGGCCTGCAAGGCCTCTGGCTGGGGGCGTCTCCCTGCACTGGGCCCACTGCCCAGGGTCCCCCTCGCTCTCTCCACACCCGGCTCCAGGGTGCTCCAGCCCCTTCTCCACTCTGCCTCCAGCGTAGCTCCTTGGGCTGCTCCTCTGACTCCCATTGGAGTGGCTCCGCTCCCCAGCTCCGCTCGGGCTCCTGCTCTCTCCTTAGCTTGGCCCCTCTCTCGCTCAGGCTGCTCCAGCTCACCTTGAGGATGGGACACACACACGCACACCCAGCCTCCTGACTCTTCATTGGCCTGTCCTGTCAACCAGGCTAACCTGGAGCACTGGTCTCTTCCCATTGCACCTGGGGACTGTCAGTCTCGGGACTTGACTTCCCATCAATCCTTCCCCCTTTCTTCTGGCACTGGGAGATGGCCAACCAAAAAACCCCAAACCCTCTAAGTTTCAGTAAGGGGCCAACAGTCCCCTTATAAAAGTGAATTGGGGAGGGGCACCTGGTCTCACTTGAGGAGGCAGACGGGATCTCCCAAGGGACACATGCACCTCTTTCCTTTGGTCATCCACCCAGAGGTCAGGGAGAGGGGCTCGCACACAACCTCAGAGGGGCAGGGGCCCCCAGATCGCCTCCTCTCACAATCACCGCTCTGCCAAACCGTGCCCTCTAATGCCTCCACCATTCAAGACAGCTGCACTGAGCACAGTGAATGCAGCTGAAGTGCATGCAGATACTTCCCACTGGCTATTACCAGCTCCAGGGGGCAGAGTTAAGGTTACAGGGGCAGGTGCCTTAACTCTTCATTTCTTGGTTTTTGTTAAGTTTGATTAGCTGAACTCAATGCTCTGGAAGGGCAGGAGACCCCACGGGGCAATCATAACTCTGCATTAACAGGGTTTTTTTGTCTGGGAATCCACATCTGGGTAGGGTTACAAGCTATCTGCACAGCAACAGCACACAGGAATTGCTCACCTCGTGCTGAAATGCAGCTGCTCCTGGGGTGGGATACCATAGCTAGGTATTAGCCATGCAGCAATAACACACAAGGAGCCCTGGCTCGGCCCTGAGGTGCAGCTCTCTCTGGGTGGGGTGCAGAGGCTGTTTATTGGAGGATCCCTTGCCTGGTGCTGAAAGGCAGCTGCCTCTTGGCTGGGGCATGGCAGAGTGGCCTCTGTATGAACAGAGTTTATAACCCTTTTGCAACAGTCTGAACTTCTCACTCCATCGGTGTCGATCTGTCTCACCATCTCCTGCGCATTTCTGACACCTCTCTCGGCCTGATCTCTTTCAATCTGAATTTCCCTTTCCTCTACCCTTGAGCACAAGCCTGCCTGAAGCTGTTTCCAAACCCTGGGTGCTGGACAACTGCAGCTTTGCTTGACTGGTCATGGCACTTCTGCCTTCCAAGTTATTTCCCCAACCCCCGCCCCCAGCTCTTTGTGCTAAAAGAATGTAAACAGCCACCCCATTTGCACAAAAGGAAGCTGCGCCCAGCCCACAAAGAGCTCTGCCAAGGGCGGACAGGCGAAATAAGCGAAGGCATGTGCTTCCCAAGTGGCTGATTGCTGGAGCTGCTTAGAAAGTGGGGGAACAATTCTTCAGCACTCCAAGTTGCATCTGAAGGCCCCCGCTACCCCTGTGCCATAGAGGCCACTCACAATCCTTAACGTATTTACCCTCACAAATCCATACCCATTTCACAGATGGGAACTGAGATACAGAGAAACTACCTAAGGTCACACAGGAAATGTGTAGCAGCGTAGGGAACTGAATTTATCTCATCTATATGCCAAGCAGGTACCCGAAGCACTCGCCCAGCCATTCCTTGTTGTTTTGCAGGTTTTGAAACAAGCCGCATTTTAAAATGTATTTTTAACCAACTTCTTCAAATGGAATGATGTCGGATTGGAGGGAGGTGTCCAGGGGGGTTCCTCAGGGAGCTGGTCTGGGTCCAGTGCTGTTTAACATAGAATCAGAGACTATCAGGGCTGGAAGGGACCTCAGGAGGTCATCTAGTCCAATCCCCTGCTCAAAGCAGAACCAATCCCCAATTTTTGCCCCAAATGGCCCCCTCAAGGATTGAACTCACAACCCTGGGTTTAGAGGCTGTAAAATAAAGGGAAGGTAACCCCCTTACCCCCCCCCCGGGGAACCCCCCCCCCTTAAAAGGGTTAGGGGCCCCCCCCCAAAAAAAAAAGGAGGGAAAAAACCTTCAAAAAGGAGGGGGGGGGGGGGAAAAAAGATTTTGGGTTTGTTTTCTTTCCCTTCGGGAAGAAAAGGAGAGGGGGTTAAATTTTTTTAATCAGTTGGGTGTGTGGTTTATATTATTTTTTTTTGGGGGAAAGAAATTGGGGAAAAAAAATTTTTATTGGGGGGTTCCTTTGGGGGGGGGGGGGGCAGGCCAATGCTCAAACCACTGAGCTATCCCTCCCCCCTTTATTAATGATCTGGATGTAGGAAGAGAGTTTACTGGTCAAGTCTGCAGATGCCTCAAAGCAAGAGGGGTTGCCAAAACTTTGGAGGATAGAGTTAAAATTCAGAGGGATCTCGATACATTGGAGAACTGGGCTACGGCCAACACAATGAAATTCAACAAAGACCAACGTAAGGTGCTGTACTTAGGGAAGAAAAACCAAACGCACAAATACAGAATGGGGGGAAACTGGCTTGGCAGCAGCACGACTGAGAAGGATCTGGGAATTGCGGTGGATCACAACCTCAGCATGAGTCAGCAAAGCGATGCTGCTGCAAAAAATAAAATAAAATAAAATTAAGTTGCAATAACAGATGCAGAGCATGCACGTCATGGGAGGTGACAGTACCGCTCCATTCGGTGCTGGTTAGGCCTCAGCTGGACTACTGTCTCCAATTTTGGTCACCACTGAGTAGAAAGGATGCAGAGAAACTGGAAAGGATCCAGAAGCGAGAGACAAAGACGATCAAAGAGGTGGAGTGTAAGCCATGGGAGCAAAGGCTGCAGGAACTGGGTATGTTTAAGCTTGGAAAAGAGGAGACTAAGGGGGGACACAGCGATCTTCAAATACTTGAAAGGCTGCCATAAAAAAGGTGGAGAAAAGTTGTTCTCTCTTGCCAGAGGGCAGGCCAAGAGGCCATGGGTTCAAACTACAGCACAGCAAAACAGATTTAGATTAAATTTCAGGAAAATCTTCCTAACTGTCAGAACAGTAGGACAACGGAACAGAGCTGCCAAGAGAGGTTGTGGAAGCTCCTTTGCTGGAGGTTTTCAAAAGGAGGCTGGACAGCCATCTGTCGTGGGTGGTTTAGACACAACAAATCCTGCCTCTTGGCAGAGGGTTAGACTAGATGACCCTTGCGGTCCCTTCTAACTGTGTGGTTCTATGATTACTGACACTTTCATGAACCAAAACCCTCAACCGCGAACTGGCTTTTGATACATAAAAAAAAGTAAACGATTTTGGAAACGACCTTGATAAAAATAAGTCACAGAAGACAGAAAACATTGACAGCTTTTACCAAAGCTTTCCATTTTTCTTTCCGGAATCAAAATCAGGGCCCAATTGTGCTGCAAAGTCCCTTTACCCACATCCATCTATCCACGGTCTGTTTTAAAAGGCAGCAACAATTGTTAAGGTTTCCTGACAATCCCTATTAAAAATCCCAATCCCTGTTTTCAGTGACTTATAACTTTCCCAAACTTTAATCATTTTGGGGTGAAACTGGATGGCCTCTGGATTCACCCTCAAATTAGTGCTGGCTGAAAAATGGAATTTTCATTTTGTGGAAAAGGTTGTGATTTGTGGAGTTTTGTTTTATCCTGACTTGAGACAAAAAGCTATATTTTTTAAATGTTACACTAGACCAAAATACCCAGAAAATTTTGTGTCCACAACATCGAAAGGGTCAGTTTTAATGATTTGACACATTTTGATTTGAAAAAATGTCCAAATGAAATGTTTTGAGTCAAAAATGTCAAACCTAAAATGCTTTGACCTTTGTCATCTTGGAAGATGAAGGCCACTAGTGGTCATTTTGATTTCTAATTCCACTGCTACACTGCAGAAAAAGGAGGGTAGGAATACGCCGGGGGGGGGGGGGGGGGAGAAATGACATGGTAAAGTTGAAAAGAAACAGGAAACTCGGAATGAAATCCTAATGTCAGAATGAAGTGAAACAGTAAAGTGAAAAAATGAAATAAAAGAGCCATTTAAAAAATTGTTCTGATATAAATTTGTTGAAAATTTTGTCAGCATTGACAAAAATTAATTACAATTTTTAGTTTTGACAAATTGGTAATTTTTGACAAAAAAAAAATTCATTGGACAATTCCCTACCAGTTCTGTTTCAGATGTCCTTAATAATTCACTTAAGGTAGGAAGACTCTTTTCATCCAATGAAGTGAGCTGTAGCTCACGAAAGCTTATGCTCAAATTAATTGGTTAGTCTCTAAGGTGCCACAAGTCCTCCTGTTCTTTTTGCAGATACAGACTAACACAGGTGCTACTCTGAAATCTTTTCTTTCTTTGACTTATGGGATAATTTTGCCACTCACTAAAGTACTGAGTTGTCAGTCCTTAGCTTCTGCTTCTAAGAAGAACCTTCAACTTCCAGTCTAGGCTTTCAATCTGAACATTTGTTTGTAGCTACCTCCTGTGTAGGGATTTACCCCTGTTATTTTTAACTTCAAACTCTCACTCAAATTCTATTCTCCTGCAGTTTCACTTTCTGTCCCTGTCTTCAAGGAATCTTTCCATCTTCCTCCAGGCCCCATCTCAAATCTGTCTTCTTGAAACTAGCTCTTTTCTCTTCTTCTCTGTCCTGCAAAACAGGACGCTATTCAGAGCCACAAAGAATCTTCTCACAAGACAGCTGTTTCTTCTGGGTAAGGTGCGAAAATGGCCTTGTTTTATCTCACAATATTCCACACAGCACACACCTTATTTTTAACACAGGACAAGCTCATACTCCTTGTTAGTGCAAAGGGGTATACTCTAATTCCCTGACCCATCTGAGCCAGCCAGTCTGGAACTTATAGATTCATAGATATTTAGGTCAGAAGGGACCATTATGATCATCTAGTCTGACCTCCTGCACAACGCAGGCCACAGAATTTCACCCACCACTCCTGCAAAAAACCTCACACCTATATCTGTGCTATTGAAATCCTCAAATCGTAGTTTAAAGACTTCAAGGAGCAGAGAATCCTCCAGAAAGTGACCCGTGCCCCATGCTACAGAGGAAGGAGAAAAACCTCCAGGACCTGGAGGAAAATCTGCCCTGGAGGAAAATTCCTTCCCGACCCCATATATGGCGATCAGCTAAACCCTGAGCATATGGGCAAGATTCATCAGCCAGATACTACTAATATCTGCTTTATACCTTATAAATGAACGACCCCATATCCCGTTCCTTGCCCTCCCCGAGTCAGTCATGGCAAGCTTGTCTTGAAGCTGGTGTTCCCTAGAAAGGCAAGGCCCCATATCCCATTCCCTACGCCAGCCAGTCCATATCTCATTCCCCACCCTCTGAGTCCCCGCACATTGGGTCCAGACCAGAGCTGGCACCCCTAGAAAGGAAGGGCCTCATGTCCCATTCCCCATCTCCTTGAGCCAGCCAGCTCCCCTCCTGTTTCAATATATTTACTGCTGTTTTAGTTACAAACCAGAATAATGACAGACACTGAGAGAAGCAGAAATACGGTGTGTTGCCTCTACAAACAGACAAGCTGAACATGGGGTTGGCAGATTGTCCCTCAATTGGGATCAGGTTGGGTGAATTAGCAATTCTCCTCTGCACTGGTCCCAGAAAGGACAAGATATTGGCCAAACAATGAACCAGGTTTATGACCAGAAACAGTATTCCAGGGCATTACTGCATCAGCTCAGAAAATGGACCCATATGACCCAGTATCCTGCCTCCTTGCTGCCCGAGATCAGAACCATGGGCCCATCTAGCCTGATATTTCACCTGCTCCCTGTCACTCTGGATCAGACCAATGGACTATCTCGCCCAGCATCCTGTCTCCAGCAGCGGCCACCATCAGCTGCTTCCAAGGAAGGTGCAAGAAGCCCTGTCCTGGGCCATTATAAAATAAATTACCCACTGTGAAAGTTTCTTCCTCGCTCTGCTACATTAGTGCCTGGCTTATGCCCAGAGCTATGATGGCTTAGATCTCTTATACATTTTTGTCTCATACAGTGGTTTTCAACCTTTTTTCATTTGTAGATATCTAAAAAAATTTCAAATGGAGATATGGACGCCTTTGAAAATCTTAGAAGTAGTCTGCAGACCCCCAGGGGTCCGCAGACCACAGACTGAAAACTACCGTTTTATGGTAACAAGCTTTCACTGACCCCTTAGAAATAGTTTGCGGACTGACCATGGGTTGAAAACCACTGGTCTAGTAGATATGCTCATGTTCCATATAAATCCTTTTCCCTCAATCCTACCGAAGTCTCAGCCTCCATTATATCATGTGGCAGGGAGTTCCAATGGCTGATTAAACATCATGTTTTTCAAAAAGCATTTAAAGTTGACCAATGGGAAACATGCACAAACAAAAACAGAGCAAAACAAACAACACCCCCCCCCTCATTCTTAGACGCATGAAAGGCAGTTACGCTGGAAATTTAATACAGACAAATATGACCCGTGTTCGCTGCTTGGGACCCAGACAGAGATGTGTGGTTTGTGGGTAATTCTACCATAAGCAGGTGAAACGCCAAGACACAAAAGGCGGGTGGATCGCACAATGTGGGGTTATACCACCCTCTTGTGGCTAGAGCTGAGCAAAGACTTATGAGTCTATTTCCGCTAATATACAGCACAAGCAAAAGAGGCTCATTTTGTTCTGAACCGGAAGTCCCCAAATTCAGTTGCCCAAAGATAAGTCAGACAAAGGGCCCCAACATTTCAGGCAAGTCGCAGACGGCCCTAGATAACACAGACACTCCATTGAATCACCCAGTCAGAGCCCATAAGGAAAGTGAGATCAGCTTTTGAAATGGGATTGCTTGGACCTCCCTTCTAAAGCTGGGTCTGAAGGGGACTGTGCATTAATGATTCTTGCAGAGCAAGGGGTAAAGGGGGAAATTAACCTGACTTGAGGCACTGCACCTCCCCCTACTCCAAGGAGCATTTAGACATCTCTTTATTAGGGCCCTACCAAATTCACGGTCCATTCTTGCAAATTTCACAGCCACAGGATTTTAAAAATCTTGACTGTCACAGTTTCAGATATTGAAATCTTGAATTTCACGGTGCTGTAACGAAACATGAATACGTATTTGAAAATGGCAAAAGAAACACACAAAGCCCTTAAGACTCAGCATTTCTCAAACTGGGGTCCCAGTCCAAGAGGGGGTTGCAAGGCTATTGTAGGGGGGTCACGGTATTGCCACCTTTACTTCTGTGCTGCCTTCAGAGCTGGCCAGCAGAAGCGCAGAAGGGTGGCAATACTGTGACTCCCCCCCCCAACAGACTTGCGACCCCCTTTTTGGATCGGGACCCGCAGTTTGAGAAATTCTGTGTACTTTTACCATATAGGGTACTTTTATAGTACAGGATAAAAGTAAATAAAATACCAGATTTCAGAGGGGAGACCAGATTTCATGGTCCATAATGTGGCATGAATTTGGTAGGGCCCTACTCTTTATATTCCACCAATTGTCCGTGAAAGCATAGATCCCTTTAGGGGTTGCCTCGGCTTCTGGTTCCTTCCTCCCTTCCCCCTCCCCCCACCTACATGTTCCCCGAGAAATAAACAGAACACCTCCTACAGAATACCTGCTGCTTCTGTATTTCCTCCCCTTTTCAATCCTCATTGTCGAATTTCCTAACCCACTTACTTATTCTGCAAGGTAAAAATACCCAGTCATCTATGGACAGGTTTGCAAAAGTCCAGAAACAGCCTCAAGCCTTCCAGGAAACCAGAATTGATGCAGGATTCCTCTCTAGTTAATGGTGGTGTAAAGCTGGAGCGACCATCTTCCCCTATGACCATCTCCCCACACTGAAGTTAAGGCAGTTAGGGCTGGATTCTGATCTCAGAGACCTCAGTGTAAATCCAGAGGGACCTACTGATGTTAATGAAATCAAGGCATAGTCTGATCTCAATGGCCCTCGTATGAATCTGGAATGACCCCGCTGTCATCCATGGAAGATGAGTTACAGCTGGATTCTGATCTCAGTGACCCTGGTGTAAATCTGGAGTGACCTCACTGACGTCAGTCGAATTACACTGATGTAAAATGGCCATGTAAGTGAGAGCAGGATCAGGTTCCTGGCTTCAATGCCCCTAGAAAGAAGAGCTAATGATGGAGACATTGGGGTGAATCCTCACCTGCTGTTTCTCACTAGAACTCCATTCACTGCAATGGAACCATGCCAGTTCACACCATCTGAGGATCTGACCATTGTATCCCGTCCTCAAGGGGAGTATTGGTCACCCTAGAATCAAACTGCCCTGGGAGAAGAGAGTTGACTCTATTTGAGGCAATGTATCAACTCACCCAAAGTCGTTAGGATGGACCTGAGTGGAGACACTGTATGACACAGACCTTAGTCTAGATACCACCTGGGAAAACCTGGCACTCTTGGATACAGTTGTATCAAATCAACCGGGACAGAAGAATTGACAACGGTGGAAACATTGTACCAAGTTCAGTGACTCTATTGGAGACAACGTATCAATGCACCCAAGGAAAGAGACTGGATCTCAGTGCAGACACTGCATCAAGCGGACCCTGGCCTAGGCACCTCCAGGGAAGAATCGACTCTCTTGGAAACATTGAATCAAATTATTTCGGGAAAGGAGAAATGACCCTGCTGGAAACATTGTATCAAATGTGCCAGGTAAGGGGGGGTGACCCCACTGGAAACACAGAATCAGATGGACCCTGCAGGAGACATTGTCTCAAATGTGCCAGGTAAGGGGGGGTGACCCCACTGGAAACACGGAATCAGATGGACCCTGCAGGAGACATTGTTTCAAATCCTCCAGGAGAAGAGCATCAAGGACTCTACTCGCAACACTGTTAATCAGGCTGACCCTGGACAACACACTGTATGAAATCCTCCAAGGGACCAGCCGTGACTCGTGGCACCACCAATCCAAGCTGACCCCGAGGGAGATACTGGGTCAAGTTCCCCAGGAGGCCACGTTGGGATTCCTGGTCCGTGACTGGGGAGCTGAAGGCCCCTCCCTCTGCCCCAGGCTCACAGCGTCTCCCTGGTGTGTGTGCGCCAGTGTTTGACCAGGGTGGAGCTGCGCCCGAAGTCCTTGCCGCACTGGGTGCAGTGGAAGGGTTTCTCACGGCGGTGGCTCCGCTGGTGGTCCGTGTAGTGGGCGTTCTGGGAGAAGCCGCGCCCGCAGTCGGGGCAGACGTAGGGCCGCTCGCCCGTGTGGGTGCGCTGGTGGCGGATGAGGTTGGAGCTGCGGCTGAACTTCTTCCCGCACTCGGGGCACTGGTAGGGCTTCTCGCCGCGCTGGGTGCGCTGGTGCTGGAAGAGGTCGGAGCTGCGGCTGAAGCCCTTCCCGCAGTCGGGGCAGATGTAGGGCCGCTCCCCGGTGTGGACGCGCTGGTGCTTGATGAGGTCCGAGCTGCGGCTGAAGCTCTGACCGCAGTCGGGGCACTGGTAGGGCCGCTCCCCGGTGTGGACGCGCTGGTGCTTCACCAGGTCGGAGCGCTGGCTGAAGCCCTTCCCGCACTCGGGGCACGTGTTGGGCCGCTCCCCGGTGTGGGTCCTCCAGTGCTGGATGAGGGTGGAGCTGCGGCTGAAGCTTTTCCCGCACTCGGTGCACTGGTAGGGGCGCTCCCCCGTGTGCACCCGCTGATGCTGGGCCAGCAGGGAGCTCCGGGTGAAGCTCTTCCCGCACTCGCTGCAGATGGTCGGGGGGGCCTCGCGGCAAGGGGGCTTCCTGGGGGCTCGCCTGGGCTGGGTGGGTGCCAATGGGAGAGGCAGCCCTGGGGGCTTTTCCCACTGAGATTCCAGGGCTGAAGGGGTTGGTGAGCCAGGAGAGTGCTCGGAGGTTCGCCGCAGGGCTGGAACCTGGGATAAAGTCTCATCAGACAACGCCCCATCTGGGTCCTCTTCTACGGACTCATTCCGATCAGACATTGCCCCATCTGGGTTTTCTTCTATGGACTCGTTCCCACCAGGCAGCGTCCCATGTGGATCTTCTCCCATGGAAACATCCTCATCAGGTGATGCCCCATCTGGATCTGCTCCCACTGGCCCATGCTGCCGGGGAATCTCCTCATCCATCCTGCCACCTGCAGGGAGAGAGAGAATCCAGCCAGGGCTCATTCCCTGGGGTTGCCAGGTGTCCAGTTTTCAACCAAACACCTGGTCGAAAAGGGACCCTCGCTGGTGTGGTGAAAATGAGCACGTGTGTGAGGGTGGAGGAGAGTGAGTGATGGAGGGAGCAGGGTGGGATTTTGGAGAAGGGGCAGGGCCTCCGAAAAGGGGCGGGGCAAGGGTGTTCCTGTTTGTTGGGTCAGAAAGTTGGTCTGCTCAGTTGATAAACTCCCCGGGGGTGGCAAAGGGGTTTGTCACTGAGCAGGGGTTTGTCACCTGAGGAGCAGGAAGTCAATTCCCCTAAACACTTTCCCAGTAAGGAGAGGACAGGCTGGTTCTGCCCCAATAGCCCAGCTGAGCCCTCAGAGAAAGGCTGGGGGAGGGGAGGGCTCCTGCCAGGCTGGGAGTCAGGAATGGCACCTGCCATGAGGACAGGGCATCTGCTGGGGATGATACTGAGTGTGACGAGACAGAACTGGGGGGGCTCCCGGCGGCTTTGCTGGGACCCCAGCTGTTCTCTTCACTCCTGGCCACTCTTGGAACCAGTGTCACTCATTGCTCACCTTTGTGGACACCTTTCAGGCTCTCCTGTTCCTCAAGCACCCCGGAGATCCGGGACACATGGCTCTTCCTCTCCCTGCATCTTGGTGATCACAGCAGGGATGGGGAATCCTGCTGGCAGGGAAGGAAATGGGTGAGTTTGTTACATCTCCCCCAAGGGCTCAGTAGAGAGGCTGCTGCCTGATTGTAAACCTGGCCCTGTTCTGTGCACACAGGTGGAGGCAGATCCAAGCGGAGGTGACATTTCACAAGGGCACTTTTGGGCTCTTCCATAGAGAAGCAGTGATCAAGCCATAATGACAGAGGAGTCCTGCTGTACCTACCTCCCAACCCTCCCCCTGCTGTAACCCCCCAGACCCTACTCCCCTCCCAGAGCTGGGGAGAGAACCCAGGAGTCCTGGCTCCCAGCCCTCCCCCTCCTGTATTCCCCCAAACCCTACTCCCCTCCCAGAGCTGGGGAGAGAACCCAGGAGTCCTGGCTCCCAGCCCTCCTCCTCCTGTACCCCCCCCCCAGACCCTACTCCCCTCCCAGAGCTGGGGAGAGAACCCAGGAGTCCTGGCTCCCAGCCCTCCCCCTCCTGTATTCCCCCAAACCCTACTCCCCTCCCAGAGCTGGGGAGAGAACCCAGCAGCCCTGGCTCCCAGCCCTCCCCCTCCTGTACCCCCAGACCCTACTCCCCTCCCAGAGCTGGGGAGAGAACCCAGGAGCCCTGGCTCCCAGCCCTCCCCCTCCTGTACCCCCCTCCCCAGACCCTACTCCCCTCCCAGAGCTGGGGAGAGAACCCAGGAGTCCTGGCTCCCAGCCCTCCTCCTCCTGTATTCCCCCAAACCCTACTCCCCTCCCAGAGCTAGGGAGAGAACCCAGGAGTCCTGGCTCCCAGCCCTCCCCCTCCTGTACCCCCCCCCAGACCCTACTCCCCTCCCAGAGCTGGGGAGAGAACCCAGGAGTCCTGGCTCCCAGCCCACCCTCTCCTGTAGCCCCCCCGACCCTACTCCCCTCCCAGAGCTGGGGAGAGAACCCAGGAGTCCTGGCTTCCAGCCCTCCCCCTCCTGTACCCCCCCCCCGACCCCACCCCCTCCCTTTGGCGGTGCTCGGGGTTATTTAAAAGCCACACCCCTGCAGCTGAGCTGCTCTCTACCCCCCCATCCGGGGCACAGGGCTCCGCCTGCGGGACTCCCGACGGAGGCGAACCCCTGCCCGGAGGGGCAGAAGCTCCGTCCGCCGGGGTCCGGGCCGAGGAGCCGCTCACCCGGCTGCCAGCCGCAGCTCCGCGGGGACAGGATGCGGTGCGCCGGCAACCCCGTCCCCAGGAAATCTTCCCCGCCCCACCGTTCCTGCTGCCCGGGAACGAGCCCGGACTCCTGGGTTCTCTCCCCAGCTCTGCGAGGGGAGTGGGGCTGGGAGCCAGGACCCCTGGGTTCTCTCTTGTAAAAAATGACCTGATTTAATAATGTCTGGGGTTATAGGAACAGGGGCAGGGAATTTTTGTTTAATGCCTGCTTTTAAAAAAAATAAGAAAATGCACCTTTTATAGTTTTCTCTGCCTCTTGTGGCTGGTCCACATGGAAGATAACAGCCTTCTACAGCTGCATGCTAATACTCCTTTATCTCAAGCAGTAGAGGCCCATGCTGTGGACTTTAAGGGCCTAGCTTCCAATCCTGCTGATAAGTGAGCGGGGGAAGCTTTGTTAAACTTGCATTGTTTGCAACCCAGAGATTGCAGCATTATGTCAGAGCCTGGAAGTGAAATGGATTAGAAACAAAAAGGAAATTGACTGGACCCGATTCATTGCCTCACCTGCATGAAATGCAAAAAGGAAAGCATGCAGCCGGCATGAATCCCTCCTGCCCTGCACGCTGTGTTGCGACTTATTCCTGTTGCAAAGTGAATCTAAAATGCCCCCACAGGGGTGAGTGGTGGATTCTGACCTGTTGTGTTTTCGACTCACTTTACCCAAATGTGGAAAAAGATATGAGGTCGTGGAGAATCTCTTCTAATTAGGCCAGTTCAGCCATGTCAGATCCCACACTCAGGTATGTTTACTGTGTGTGGAGTAATAATAGATTAATACATTTTAAGGCAAGAAAGGGCCATTAGGATCATCTTAATCTGACCTGCTAACACAGGCCTGAACATTTCTCTTAGTAGCTCCTGCATCCATATCATAACTGTTGGTGGAGCTAGATCATTTGAAGAGAAATGTCCAATCTTGATTTCGAGTGATAAAAGAATCCATCACATTCCCAGATAAATTATGGTTAATCCCCTTGAGTGTTAAAAATCAGACCTTTATTTCCTGTTGGAATTCACCTCCTCTCAGCTCCCAGCCTTTCGATCGTGCTATACATTTGCCTGCTAATATTTAATGATCTCAACGACTGTGTTTATTTAACAGAAATAATTCCACTGAGCTTGGTTGAAAATGGTCGAAGAAAGGCAAAGGCATTCTTATCCAGAGCCACTCCACCCCAAAGGATTACATCATCAGAACAGGCACTCATTGGTGATCGGATCCCAAAGACGGGGAGGTTTCTGTAGGTGCTCAGAGAGGGAGCATTTTCTCCCTTCTCTGGGATGAGATGCCCTGTTGCAATGAATATGCACAAGATAGGGAAGTGCCAATATTTCTCCAGACACCTGCTGGGGATGACACTGAGTGAGGGGAGACAGAAGTGGGGGGCTCCCGCTGGCTTGGCTGGGACCCCAGCTTCCCCCTTCACTCCGAGCCGGTGTCCCTCATTCCTCTTAACTCTGGATTTCCTGGGATTATTCGTTATTAAAATAATCAGTTTTACCAAGACATCAGTGCCTTGCAAATTTTTAACGGTGAGGGGAATTAACCAGTGGAACAATTTACCAACGGCTGTGGTGGATTCTCCATCCCTGGCAATTTTTAAATCCAGATTGGAAGTTTTTCTAAAAGATCTGCTCTAGTTCAAACAGGGATTAATTCAGGAAAGTTGTATGGCTTGTGTTATACAGGAGATCAGAGGAGATGATCTAATGGTCCCTTACAGTCTATGAATCCTTACAGTTTATTCCAGTAGTGTCTAGTGATCCCAGTTTCACTCAGGGCCCTTGTTGTGCTGAAAAGAGGGGCCCCAGGTCCAGAAAGGGGGGCTCCAGGTCCAACAAGGGGTAAGATTAAACCCCTCATTCAACACTAAAGAGTTGAAAGCGGTCTGGGCTTTCATGTCAAATTACTGCTGACTTAATCCCATAGTAACAATAACCAAATCTCTTTATCCTAGTGTGGAAGTAGAGAAAAGGATAAAGGGAATTTGAACGCAGATATCTTGACTTCTAGGAATAAAGTTAAGAGTCAGGCTAACACTAGCTCTAATAACGTGAGATTTCAGGCAGGGCATGGGCGAGTGGAACAAGAAAACCGGTAAGAGATGCTGGTTTTCGACCTTGTGTTAGATAAGAATGGAATACACACTGCTGAGAAAAGGAAGACATCAGAAGGAATATGTATAAACAGGATGCGGTTGTTGATCATTATTGTTGGTAACAAAAGGTACAAATGCTTGCCCTAATTGTTTATCTAACGGAGACCTGCCCAGGGAAAGGAATCCCTGCCCGTGTGTACTCTCCTACGCAATTGCTCATAATAAAGCTGCCTCTGGCTTGTTGCTTTCAAGTCAGAGTGAGGACATTGTTTTCTTCCACACTCGCATTAAAGATACACAAAAAGACGGAAAACCAGTGAAGGCTGTGAAAAGTAAAGTCTTAAGTAAGGCTTTTATTTTTTACAGTCCCCCTTATTCCCTTTCCTTTGAGCTGTAAGGTTTCTCTTTAAGCTTGTCTGACAGTCTTTTGGTGGCCAAGAGGTGGTGGCAGCCCCGTCTAATTATCATCAACCAATCACAACACATTTTGCTGCCTGCAGCCATAAACGCTCCCTCCTCGTTCTTGGCTCTTTCAGCTCCCTGTCCCGCCAGCCAGTGACTTTCCCTGGAGCTTTGCAGAAGCCTCCACGGGACCCCACTGCAGCAGAGGGCCCGGCCCTGGCGCTCCAGCATCACACTGGAGGCAATACCCAACCCGGGAATGGCAGCGTCCCCCCCCCAGCGCATGGTGCAGCCCTGATCTCTACGGCCGGGGCGGCCCCCATGGGGGAGCACTGCAGCAGCCTCCTCCTCGGTGTGTCCCTGGTGGTGCCGGGTCAGCCGGTGCTTGCGGCAGAAGCTCCTCCCGCACCGGGCGTGGAGGTAGGGCCGCTCCCCCGCGTGGAGGCGCCGGGGCTGCGCCAGGTTGGAGCGGAGAGGCAGACGCCCTTCCCACCGTCGAGGCTGCGGACGGGGGTCTCGCCAGTGCGGGCACGCCGGTGCTCGATCCGGTTGGAGCTCTGGCCAAAGGCAGCGCACAGGTAGGGCCGCTGGCCCGTGCGGGTGCGCAGGTGGGTGGCCAAGTGCGGCTTCTGCCGGAAGCTCTTGTCGCACTCGGTGCAGCCGTCGGGCCTCCCGGAGCCCTTGCTGCGCTCAGGGGCCCTCCCGTGCTCCCTGGGCCGAGGCGGCCTCGCCGCGGCCGAGGGCTCAAAGAGGATGCCTAGCAGCCGGCCGAAGCCTCGCTCCTGGCGGCCGGATGTAGCAGATCTGCCAGGCGGGGGTGCCCCGGGCTGGCTCCCCCAAGCCCTGCCCTGGCTGGGGTTCTGCATGGCCCACTTCCGGGCTATCCCTGGGAAGGTCTGCTGGGGCTGCAGCCTCTTGAGGCTTCCCTGGATGGGATTCTCCTGGCTCTGCCTCCAGCGCCTCTTGCCTCCTGGGAAAGGAAGAGAGATTCAGAGATGAAGGTGTAAATGGGCAGAGCCCCATTACCGACTCCAGGGGAGCACTGCTGATTTACACCCTCCAGGGATCTGGCCCCACGGACTCCAGCAGAGCAACACTGATTTACACCCTCCAGGGATCTGGCCCCACTGACTCCAGGCCAGAAGGGGACCATAACATGATCATGGAGTTTGATGTCCTTCAAAGAACACATTGAGAAAATTTCACGGAGTGATTCCTCAAGAGAATACAGCCGGGACTCGTTCCCTGCACCAGTGAGAGAGGGGTCAGCAAAACGGTTTGTCACTGAGCAGAAAACCTGATGGGCAGGAAGCAAATCCCCCCAAAACCCTTCCTTGGGGCTGCCCCAACATCCCAGCTAAGCCCTCAGAGAAAGGCTGGGGGAGGGAAGGGCTCTTGCCAGGGGTGGGATCCAGCAGTGACACCTGCCGTGAGGACACAGACCTGCTGGGGATGACACTGAGTGAGGGGAGACAGAAGTGGGGGGCTCCCGCTGGCTTGGCTGGGACCCCAGCTTCCCCCTTCACTCCGAGCCGGTGTCCCTCATTCCTCACCTGTGAGGGTGATCTCCCTTTCCTCAGAGCCCTGGAAAGCCGGGACCCTCGGCTCTTCCCGCTCGCTCCATCCAGGAGATCACAGCCAGGTCGGGGACAGGGAATCCTGCTCGGGGGAAGGAAACAGGCGAGACGGGGCTCGCTGAAATCTCCCCCAAGGGCTCGGTGCAGAGAATTCACCCTGCTTTTAATCCCAGCCCCGCTCTCTGTGGGGGGACACGGGATCAGAGTGGAGGGGGAAAGTTCACAGGGACCCTTTGGGGGCAGGGAGATGCCTGTGGGCAGGTGGGCTGTGCCCCCTGTGAGGGAGACAGGGCTCTGCATTATGCTCCATGGGGCACGGATTGTCTCTGCTCTGGGTCTGTGCAGCACCGAGCACAGTGGGGGCCTGGGCCCATGACTGGGTTTCTTAGGCATTACTGTAATACACCTAATAAATAATGTACAGTGCCCAGCACAATGCGGTCCTGGCCCATGACTGGGGTTCCTAGGGATTACCATAATACACTTAATATATAATATACAGCACTCAGCACAGTGCCGTGGCTGAGGCTCAGAGGTGCTAGAGCCATATAAATACAATACATCCCAGTGGTCAGAGGTGGAGGTCTGGGGGCTTCAGGGGCCACTCCCCCAGAAATCTATAGGGCTCGGGAAGAGTCATGAGCTGAAGCCTCCCTGGGTGCATAAGCCCCCCCAAATCCCCAGGGAGCAGGGGCAGTGCCGGCTCACCCAGTGAGATGAGAGCCTGGTAGTTCTCCTGCATGACGTCCCTGTAGAGCTGCCTCTGCCCTTCGTCCAGGAGCCCCCACTCCTCCCGGGAGAAACACACGGCCACCTCCTCGAACCCCACCGGCGCCTGGCGAGTGATTCCAGGGCAGACAGTGAAAACAACGCTGTTCACATTCTCCATTGTGTAACTCCCCAAATGCCACTGCAGCGACCATGGATAGTCCCCAACCGGATCTATCCCGTCCCCCCTGCCCTGAGCCAGCCAGTCCCCCTGCCCTGGGGCTGGACCAGAGCCGGCCCCCTAGAGGGGAAAGACCCCCTTCCCCATCCCCCTTGAGCCAGCCAGTCCCCCTGCCCTGGGGCTGGACCAGAGCCGGCACCCCCTAGAGGGGAAAGACCCCCTTCCCCATCCCCCTTGAGCCAGCCAGTCCCCCTGCCCTGGGGCTGGACCAGAGCCAGCACCCCCTAAAGGGGAAAGACCCCCTTCCCCATCCCCCTTGAGCCAGCCAGTCCCCCTGCCCTGGGGCTGGACCAGAGCCGGCACCCCCTAAAGGGGAAAGACCCCCTTCCCCATCCCCCTTGAGCCAGCCAGTCCCCCTGCCCTGGGGCTGGACCAGAGCCGGCGCCCCCTAGAGGGGAAAGGCCTTGTGCCCCATTTCCCACTGTCCCCCTGCTCCGAATTAGCCGCACCCCCCCCCCCCGCCCGAAGATCGGTTCTGATTCCCCAGTGGGGTTAGGGAACATTTCTAACCCCACTGCCCCCTACATACTTCTTATTAACCGGGTTTGTTACAGTAGCGCCCAAGGGCAGAGCTCAGGGACTGTTTCCTACCGGGGCTGCCATCCCCCCCCCGGCTGTCTGGGTCTCCTGCTGGGGGTGGGGGGGTCCTTCTCCCCTCTCCTCCTCACTCTCCCTGCCTCCTGCTCTGCCGATCTTCCTCTCCGCTCCCTTCCTCCGCATCTGCTCCCCGGCCGGGACACACCGGGGGCCCAGCCCGCCTCTGTCCCTGGGGGGCAGCCCTAGGAGCCTGGCTCCTACAGCAGGGCAGGCTAGACGAGCACAGCGCTCCCTCCCGTCTGGCCTTTTCCCTGAGGACCCAGGAGTCCGGGCAATCAGCACCGTTATAAACACCATCCCTGGGAAAACATCCCAGCCGCTGCTGGTTCCTGCCGCAGACTAGCTCCGGCTCCAGCGCCGCCCGGGACAGATCGGCTCCGTGCCCCGGGCCCCCCTGCACCCGGAGCCAGCCGCGGCGTGGGGGCAGGGGGCTGGGGGCGCTGCGCTGCTGGGCTAGCCGGGCTGGAGTCTCCGGAGGCGCCCGGGTGCCCAGAGGAAGGATTTCCCGGGGACACCCAGCCCAGAGGCTCCCACTTTGGATCCCATCATCCCGGGGAATCCTTAGCCCAATGCCCTGCGGGCCCCCCCCCCCCCCCCCAGTTAGCAGCCTCCGGGCGGGCGGGGAGCAGGAGGGTGCTAGTTTACCGGGGGGGGGGGCAGGGAATCAGGACTCCTGGGTTCTAACCCCAGCTCTGGGTGAGTGGGGTTGAATGGGTTAGATTCAGGACCAGGGGGGATCTAGTGGGTTTGAGCAGGGGGAGTCAGCAGGACTCCTGGGTTCTATCGCTGTGTTGGGGGCTGTGGTGGGTTACCGCAGAGGCTGGGAGTCAGGACGCCGGGGTTCTGCTCCGGGTGGGGAGGGGGTGGGGGTGTAAAGGGTGAGAGCCGAGGCTGGGAGTCAGGACTCCTGGCTTTTATTCCCTGTTTCTATTCCCTTTGTTCCCTGCAAGGGGCACTGCCCCTCCCCCCAGAAATCTCACTGCCTCCAGGGGACCCCTTGAACATTTCCCCCTGCTTAGATCCAACATCCCTCCACTACAGAGAACGGGGCTGGGGTTAAAATCAGGGCACGGTCTCTGTACCGAGCCCTCAGGGGAGATTTCACCAAGCGCCCTCTCCCTCGCCTGTTTCCTTCCCCACCAGCCGGATTCCCTGACGGGCCCATAATCTCCCGCATGGAGCCAGGGGAAGAGCCGAGGGTCCCAGATCTCCAGGGCTCCCAGGAAAGGGAGATCCCCAGAGGTGCCCACACCGGCGAGGAATCAGCGGTACCAGCAAAGCCGCGGGGAGCCCCCCCAATTCTGTCACATCTCATTCAGTCTCATCCCCAGCAGGTGCCCTGTCCTCCTGGCAGGTGTCATCCCTGGATCTCCCAGGCCTACGCTGTTGGGTCTGATGGCCTCTACTCATCTATCTTTGAAATTGTGGCTCAGGGACACTTTCATCGACAGAGGGTCGAGGGTTCTGCTCCCACCGCCGGGATGTGGCTGCAGCCTTAACAAAGTTCTGTAAGATATTGAGTTTTCAGGACCACAGTCTTAGCTGGGGTCAATCCACTGTAACACCACACGTGGATCACGGGTCACTAACTCTAGGACCTTTGGATCTCACAGCCTGAGACACGAATATCTGAGCAAAAACATTTTCGCTCATAAACCTTTTACTTCACCCAGCCACTAGAGGGTGATAAAGGCCTGCACTGTTTAATCATGGTGGATTACACCCACAGCAGCTGCTCTTCTATCCCTTCATTTCATCTTTAGGCTGCAGTGGGAATGGAAGCTCTGAAGGTGAAATCAATGGGCAGAAGCAAGCTTCCCATGACGGTTGGTTGGGAATTTCTTTTTGACAATTCCCCCCCCCTCAAAAAAAAAAAACCCACCAAATCCTCAAAACTGAAACTATTTGCGGGCAAGGGTGGGTTTTAATGAACTTCCCCACTAGGGAAGAGCGTAGAACATCTTGAAAAAGTTCCCCTTTGACATTGTTTAAGGTAAAAAGGTTTGGGTATTTTGGGTTCCAAATGACTTCACAGAATTTAAAACTTAAAATAAAAAAAGGAAAAATAAGGTCCAAATTGAAACAAAAGGTTTCAAAATGACTTTGAAACCTGAACAAATTTATTTTTCAGTTTGTCGATTTGCAGACAGCTTTGAGATTTCAATTTTTTGTCCCTATTCAGGACAGGAAAGTTTTTCAAAATCTTGAACATTTTGGCTGGACAGAAAAACCATTTTCTACTCAGCCCGACTTCTGATAGCGCACACCCAGAATGCTTCCTGAGGATTTCTCATCGACAGACATGGCTATTGCATGCACCTGGGTCTTTACTTTCTTTTTGTGTCTGTTTTTGCCAGCATGAATCAGTGTTTTTTATTGACATGATTCCTACTAAAATATAACCGTTGCATTTTTTTTTTAAAAGGGGAGAGAGGTCTTTTTTTTCCCGCACTGTGATAAATTTTACTAGGGCTCCATTTCAACCAGGGAAGTCATTAAAGGTTGTAATAAAACTTAGTGAAAGCTAGATCTGGGTTCTAGAATCTGTCTATCCATTCGTATACACATCCATCCATCCCTGTACACATCTATCTAATCTAATCTATCTATCAATCCATCCCCATACACCCCCTCTATCTATCTATCTCTCTTCCTCTTTAGATCCTCATTTGCTGATCCAGCTAATTTATCCAATCTGTCTAATACTGATAAATCCTGAATGCTAGGATCTATCTTTCTATCCATCCATCTCCCTTTACACACCCACCGATCTACAGATGAAACGTGCTATATAAGAGTTGGGTATTCTCTCTCTCGTACACATCTCTCTCTCTCTCTAAGACTTTCCTCACTGTGGTCTCTGAACACCTCATTACCCCAGTATTTTGATTTTTAAACACCCCCCCCTCTCCCCGGCACAGGTAATGAGCCCCGGCTGGATTCTCTCGCTCTCTCACAGCAGGTGCTGGGACGGCAGAGGAGAATCCCCAGCAGGAAGGGCTGGCAGGAGTGGAGCCGCCCGAGACGTCCCAGAGCGGGAGACCCCCTGGGGGAGAGACCCACTCAGCAGGGATGAGGCTCCTGGGAAGACAAGCCAGGCGAAAAACCTTACACGTGCTCCTGCTGTGGGAAGAGCTTCAGCTGGCTCTCCCACCTGGCCATCCACCAGCACCCTTACCAATGCACCAAGTACGGGAAGAGCTTCGGCCAGAGCACTGCGCCGATCCAGCACCAGGGCACCTACACGGGGGAGCGACTCTACGAGTGCGCAGAGTGTGGGGAAAACTTCATCCAGAGCACCGTGCTGATCCAGCACCAAGGCACCCACATATTCCAGGTGCCATTTGGGATTTAACTGGTAGAGGTGGCAATGTCATCCGGGTCCCCCTCTGTGGCCTGGCCAGGACATCTTTCAGGATCAAGACGACGAAGGTCCAGGGTACGAGGAGACGGTGAGGGTGGCATCTATCATGGCGAAGCACCTCCTTTGCCTTCTCTTGTCTTGCTGTCAGCCAGCATCATGGTGGGCAGCTTTTCCCCAAAATCTTTTCTCTTTAAGGACCGCAGAAGGAGAGTGATGGATGGAGCAGCCCATCTTCTCATTGTTTTGCCCACCAGTTAGGCCTAATTTCTGAGATACCAATTTGGTCCATTGATTTCAGGTCCCTCACACCTCTTTCTTACCAGACATGATCATAACACAGTGCTTGAGTTATAGCAACAGGCCTTTCTGTGTTTGGACAAACTCAGCCTTTCCACCTCTCTTTTGTACCTTTCCCCCTCCGCATTTGTCATTATGCATCTTTCTGACCTTTTATAAACTGTCACTCGCTTTTTACAGGTGAGCTCACAATTAGGGTACATTTACAGGCCCAGTTATCACCACAGGAATTAACCACTGGACCAACTTACCAAGGACCGTGGTGGATTCGCCATCGCTAGCAATTTTTAAATCGAGACTGGATATGTCATTCTAAAAGGTCGGCTCTGGTTCAAACAGGGATTCACTCAGAGACGTTCTCTGGCCTGTGTTACACAGGAGATCAGACCAGATGATCACAGTGGTCCCTCCTGGCCTTGGACTCAATATTAGCACAGGACTAACCTAGGCTGTAACCCGGTTTGTGCCCCATCCACACACACACACACCCTGTCACCTGAGTCTAGTGCTGCTTCCAACCCAGGCTGGATGGCCCAGCTGGGGCTATGGCTTGAAGCCCTGGTGAAGCTTTCACTGAGGCTGGTCACCAGCCCACTTTGCAGTGAGGACACAGGATACACCCACCAAGTGCTGATAATCCTCCAGTGCCTTCCCACAACTCCCTCGTGTGCGCGGAAGCACGGACAAGTTCTCCCACGGTGCACTGGGAAAGAATCCTAGAGTGGCTCAGCTTAGTGCAGCCCAAAGCACCATGGGACGTGCCCCCCAAAAGTCCGAGTCGCACGCATGGAGGAAGGCAGCACAGGAAAGGATGCAGTAACTTGGGCAGGGCTTTGCAAGGTGGGGGGAATCCCTGTGCACCCCAGAGGCGGTTGCATCTCAGCGCTGGGTGAGGGACCTTGGTGCGTACAGTGCTGGGTCCTCCATGGAGCTGGAAGGCAGTAGGGAAGGACCCAGGCTTAGCGGTAGTGCTGAGCTGTCCAGGTGGTTTTGTCTTTTGGAGAATCATCAAGGGAAGGCGCTGAAGGCAGACGGATGAAATGACACTGCCTTTAAAGCAGGAGGTCTCCACCTGGCTGGAAAGAGCCAGCTGTCCCCATTCAAACTGGTTTTCCCCGTCACAGATCCACAGGATCGGTGCTATGGTCCCTGCTTTAGAACAGTCTCTGGGAGGATCCCTTCAGTGAGCCAGACACCCAGTGGTCTCACTCTTCCTCCAGGCTAAGCCATGTGGCTTCACCGCCCCCTTAGGCTGGTCCTCTGGGCCTCAGCTCTCCTGCTTCACACCATCAGCTCACTGAGACAGACCCCTGAAGGAGACTTGTACAGGTACAATCTGAGGGAGCAATGCACCTCCGCCAGCATCTGCAGGGACACTCAGCCAGCATTGTCACACGGCAGGGTTTTAGTCAGCTGGAGCATGGCATAGGAAGTCCGTGGTTAGCAGAGAGAAGTGAAAGTTAAAGCATAGGCCATTCTGGGTAGCCAGAACCCAGCCAAGCTGTACTGACCCCCATTGTTCAAATTGTGTCTGTCCCTGCATCTGATCGTCTTTGTTAGACTTCCAGATGTGCCCCCGACTGCTTCCGGCAGCCCACACTTGACTTCCACCTCACCCCCCCAGTCCTCTGTTCCCAAGCTGGGGAGATGCGGCTCAGACCCCTGCTGAGAGGCAGGGAAGTCCATATCTCTCTGGGTCTTTGGTAGCCAGGTTTCAATGTCCCAGGGATTGGATCTGCCATGGTCTTCTCAAGAGCTGCATTCACGTGGGATCTAATGCCTCAGCCAATGAGGCACCATTCACACCCAGGTCGGAGCCTGTCCCAAGAGCAAACAGTCC